CTGTCACATTTGTACTTCCCTAAACGACTCACGAGTTCCATGTAGCCTCTTTTTTCTTTTCACTTGTAGTAGAAAGTGGTACATATCTTATTACAGCAGAAATATTTTATTTTTATTTTATTATTTTCCTCTCTGAAACGCGTTAACTACCTAGCTTCAGTGCTCGTCCTGAAATTCTGCCTCAGAATTCTTGAGAACCTTGAAAGGAGCCCATCACCATAATTGTTTCATTTGTTATGAAGAAGCTCAGGACAACTTGGTGCCGCGTTTAGCGGCCTCTGACCACTTGGCCTTTTTTCTCTTCGACTATATCCTACACTTTTGAAGAGTGATTTCGTCTTTTTAAAAGCAAATATGCAATTAAACGTGAAGACCGAGGAAAAGGGTTAGTACAAATATCTCATACACCTTTTTTGATCTCGAAATAGATTTATCCCGCCAAATTATCCCGTACTTAGTATTATAGTATATGGGTTTACGAAAGGGTTTGTTGTCGCCAATGTGTCGGACGACTACTAGATCCGCAAGTTTAACTCTGTGACAAATTGCCACGGCCACTGTTTACGCGACGTAATGAAATGTTTGCTAGCAGGCCAGAGATGGCTGGCTTCCCGCGACGGGAATCATGCTTAAAAAAACAAAGATGATTTTGGTTAAAAATGCTCTGATCAGGGTAGTAAAGCTACATTATAGAGCCCTACACCATCGAGATTTCCACTAACCACTCATGCGCGAGCAGAGTCAAGTGTGCGTTGAGGAATCCTCGACACGTCGCAGGGGGGGGGGGTCGTATTGGCCCGCTGGGAGGAAGGGATCGGGCCGGATTGATGCACCACTGTCGGAGGACAAACATCAGGGATCGAGTCGATGCCATGGAAGGCCGAAGGACTTCCAGTACCAATGCTGTTCTGCCCACATAAAATTTTCGTGATTCAGAGGTGTGCACGTAGTGATTTTTCACTACCTCAGAGTTTTATCTTTTAACTATCACTAACAAGTCAAAAAAAAAACCAAAATTCGCACGTTTTCCAACGGATTTTTTATCTTTCATATGAGTCCTCGAATCTCAACGGATGTGAAGGACACGGCGCATACCAGAGTGGGCCCAGTTACTTGCGCGCGCTTTAACTACGGCTCTTGAGAGAAAAACTCTCAATTCAGAGAAAAATTAAGAGGATTCTGAAAGGGTCTGTGTGAGATGGAGGAGTAAACACATATTACGCAAAGAAATGCAGCCTTCAGCGTGAAATTCACAAGCATGTAGTTCTTTTAAAGTGAAGACCGCCAAACAAGTTTACATTTCTGGCAAAAGAGAAAGAAAGAGGATTCGGATCTAGCTCTCTTCAGTGATAGTAATTGCTGATAGGAGCTATAGTCGTTTGGAGTATAGTTAATGCAGCGACGAAGTGACTGTTCGCGCAGTACTCGGAAAAAATCCTCACGTGAGCCGTTTTTCAATTGTGGCATTTCTTAGCCGTCTTGACCAGCATCATTAATAGCGCAGTTCTTTATAGTTTAAGCTGAACGTATCTATCTTTCAGATTGGATGGGTTTTACGTAGTATTGGCTTTGAAAGCGTTAAGAACTCCCACTCATCGCAATTTTCCTTCGTAATTTTGCACTATTTCAAACGAGGTTGGCCGCTGTTTGAATTAACTGTGGCACCTATAAAAGCTGCTTTAGCCCAACATTTGATAGAGAAAATCTTCTCACGTTTGTACTGAATATAACTTTCAGGGATGATGAAAAGGGGGGCAAGTTACTGCCTCGCGAAATTGTACAAATTTGAATGCTCATCATGATTTTCCTCGTCAATCGTCTAAATTCTGTTAATTTTCTTTATAAATTTTTGTGATGTTTAGATACTGGTTAGAGAGCTTTAATAACTCCCAAATCTGCTTTCAAATTGAAAGACAAATTTTTTTCGTTTTTTTTTGCCATATTTGAGAAAGTTATAATCTTTGAATATTTGTTAATTTCATGTAGATAGCTGCCCAAGGCACGCCAAGTATCAGTCAGACACAGCTGGCTAAGGCGGTTAAAAGCGTCTTTCACTGAAGGGGGACGTGCAGTGAGTAAGCCGTATCTGTGTAGCTCTAAAATTTTGGTAAGTCTGAGTGAAGGAAATAAAATAAAAGAGAGTTGTCATAGTATGCATTTTAGTGAGTAGTTTTGAGGTTTTATGCCTGCTTTTCGTTTGCTCGTTCGTGGAGACCCATCAATGATTTAATTTGTTGACTTTTCACTTTGCTTTTTTAAAGAATTTCCGGTTGACGGTGTGATAGCAGGGCTTTTAATGAACAGTTTTGGGGGAGAATTAGACAAACTTTTCCTTTAGTTGGGCTTTTGAAGAGGGTCGTTTCATGGACTTCGGCCTCTGGCGGAGGGGGGGGGGGTCGTATTTCCAAATTTTCCTCGACGCCTCACTTGACCCTGTGCGCGAGGGTAGCGTACGCGGGCAAAATATGGGTTAAGTAGCAAGCAGTAGTGGCCAGCCTGTTTCACTGTATGAAAATTTAACAAAAAAGAATACAATCGTTGTCGATTAGCCACGAATGCGCCACGCGTTCTACCTCCATTCAAAGTGGTGCAGAGATTTGGCGATTTGACCTAGGCAATGTGCGGGGCCGACTGTTATTCAACTACCTTCCCTCTAGACAAGTCTGGTACCAACTTCGACTCCATAGGGTTAGAAAAGTTGGTAAGCCCGTTCAAAAATCTACCCGGGGCAAGTCTCGAGCTATTCGCGTGGGAATGGCGCTACTCGCCAGTACACCACCTCTGCCCTGCATAAAAACCATGATCATGTGTATTTTCGAGTCAACTGAAGATTTTCAATCTTTTTCTCTTCTGTTTTTTCATATATTTTTTTCTGTTTTATTTGTGAACTTTCAGGCGTACAATAAAGGCGACATTACTACTGGTACCTTTGCTTGGTGTATCAAATATACCACTATTTTACGAGCCAGCCGAGCCGAGCGCTGTTTACATGCTAGGATCGGCTATCCTTCAACATTCTCAGGTATAATCCATCATCGACACCTGAAGAAAAGCCAAATGATTGACAAGCTAAATGAGCTGTCGAGCGCGCACGACCGAGGGGGCAATGAAAAAATCACTCTGTGCAGACAATTTAGCCCTTTCATCTCCTCTCGACATGTACTGGAGAAACTCGTGCTCTCATGCAATTATTTCATTAACAATTCGTACTACGTGACCAAGCTAAAGCGATTCTTCGACGAAAAAAAGGTGACAGGCCCTAATCCATTGGGGATTACGTTAGGGATTTGTCTATGGGACGATTAGTAAGCGTCAACGAAACCTCGTAACGAATTCATAGAATGACGGAGTGGTCGGATTTCTCCGTCCCATAATAGCACAAACAGGATCACCCCATCCCTCTCTTTTATACGTTTTGCGATCCTATCGAATGGCAACTACAGCTGTAGCACATACTTAATAAGACACAAATGAGTTCAAATTAGTGCGTGCATCAAATTGAGCGAAATGCTGGGTTATGAACAAAGCTTTTGTTCGGACGGGACTCGAACCCGAACCTTTTGCTTACCGGGGACGTGTGCTACCAGTCACGCTACCAGGGCACCATTTCATTATTTAATCATTTCACATTCATAAGGCTAACTGTAGCTAAAAACAGCTTTTGACGATCAAAAATGGAGCGAAATGCGCCATGCATTTTACACTCACTGACTTCCTCAGATAGAAAGTCTTACCTAGGCTTAGCGTTTATACACGAAACGAGAAAGCTGGCCGACTTCTACGTGCGATGGTGCTTAGGGTAGTTCTGATCCATGGAATGGGGGTGTGAATAGAGTGATAAAACTGGAATTCATGTGGAGGCACTAAAGTGTACTCTCCATTACTAAGGGTAAGGATAAGAGCGCTCATGACATTATTTGATTCAGTTAAAAATGTGCTTCTGAAAAGTACCGATGTAATGTGAATGCTTCTGAGATCCTTTCACATTACGGTCTGCAATGGTTCAAGAAAATGAACCCGAACCAAAGGAAGGGACCTTCTAGACTGAGGATGAGGGAGCCCCTAGGTGTGTGAGCAGGTGCCGAAAATTGCCAAAAATTTCAGTAGGATGTGTGGGATGTAGGACACACACTGGTCCTTGTCAAGAGTACACTTGAAATGAGTTGTTCAGCTACTATCCTATCCTGAGTGCTGGAGAGCCAAACGAAGACTCTCTAGTTCTACGGATAAGATAACAAGGAGGCTCCCAAAACCCTGTTTCCAAGCAAAATGGGCCTTCTCAGATAGGAAGTGCGGGTTATATTTCGTGCGGTCGTTAAAGTGTTAACATAGCCAAAACATCTTTGCAATTACCAAGATGACATCTTTACAAAATGCATTCGCGTTTGCGAAAGATTTATTTTTTAAGGGAATTTTTATCGCTGTACTCTATTGTTTCCTGAATGGTGAGATCCAAAACGCTCTCAAGAGACAATTGTCAAAAGTTCCCATAGAATTTTTCAAGTGAGTTTGTTGATGTTTTCATACTTCCGCTGGGAAGGACATTTATGGCGCCGGCTAATCGCCCCACTGAGAGTCTCCATTTAAGGCCAAGACATCGATTCGAAACTGAACGGACGTACGTGCCAGAAAACCGTAATGTTACTAAGCACGGTGTACCTATGGAGGAATTGAACGGTACGAAAAAAGCCCCACAAGAAACGACCCCGCTCAATCAGGCAGGTTACTTTTTAGGCATCCTATCGCTGTAGTTTGCCTTTTACTAAAATAAAACATGCCACGGCAACATCCTCTCGTTGAGAGGAATAGAGATGCGTTAGCTCGCCGCTGTTTCGGGTAACACTATAGTGATATATAGGAGCTGTGGCTTGAGTAATCCTGAGATTACGTAGGAGATTACGCACTTTTGACGAATTTCCTACCCGCTTGCATAATATTTATGGCCTCTTTGAGCCCAGGGAGCAAGAATGGTCGTAAATAGAAGTCCGACAACATGACGTAGAATTCGACCGATGCAATGAGAAGCTGTCCGCAGGTGGTGTAGTGGTATCACACCCGGCCCAGGGATGTGAACCCGACCAGGCCAGTCGAGCTTTCCATCTTTCCAGGCATTTTTATCTGGTATCAGGTTCATGTGGAAGGATTGGAACAGCTAGCACAGGTACACGATATTCCCCCCCCCCCCCCTTCACCATTCCCAATACCTTGTTAGGCCAAATGGGAACCGAAAGCCATTACTTTTCTGAGTGGATGTAGGATACGCGGCCAACCCGAAAAGGGGTTTCTTAATGCTAAGTGCTTCATTTTTTCTGCTCGTATAGTGAAAAACTATGTGGAAATGTTTCAGGTAGTCCCAGAGTCGCAAATATTTTCCGTTCCTACGGCACCTAGCACTCGTTCAGCGGACGAAGCCGACTGACAGATTCACTCTGACTTTAGCCAACGTCCATACTGCCTTTAGCTGAAGTACAGCCTCTGTCTAAAGGGTTTTTGTTTATTCCTTCTTCGCATATTCTGCTCGAGAAAGCTTTGCAGACGGTGTCATATATGAGGAATTCAAATTTCCCAGTGTGATTTTGACTTTGGTAGTTCTTTACGGGTTTCACCTTGCCAAAACATTTTCTTGGTATTTTTCAAAACATTTTTCTTTTCTGATGTGTTCACTCATCACATATGATGAGGCTAATTGTTGATATTTTCACACTGCTATTTCATTACCGCTAATTTCCTGCTAGTTGTTTCCGTGTTGGTTGACGTGTGATCTCTCACCAAAAAACTCTTTACTTGACGCGTATGCAACGTATTAAAGCCGTTTTTACAACTGTCGCTTGCCAATACAGTGAAATTTGGATTCTGATGGAGTCAGTGCACAACTCTTTGTCATCATGGTTGTACCCACTACTTGGACGAGGTCATTGCTTGTTGCCAGTGAAGGTGTTAAGCGACGCTTTGTAGGTGACCCACGTCAAGGCAAAAAATCACAAAAAAATCACAATAACCTTCCAGTAATGATACTGTACTTCAAATAGACGACTGTGCGGCACAGCGGTAAATAAAGAGAAAAAGACGAGCATTAGCTACTCTGCTCAGCGGTACGACACTTCTAAAGTTCTGGGTGTATTCAGAAGTCACCACGCGGCGACGCGCGCGGTTGTTGCACGGCCCGAGTGCGGCAACTGCGAACTAGTAGAGACGCATACAGAGCGAGTCAGAGCGCGACGGCAGATTAGAGTGTGTCGCTAAAATCAGTTAATGTTTACGCAAAACACAGATGCACTAGTCGTGACCAGTGTCGTGCAGTGACCTCAAATCCATGTCCCAAGTACTTCACGGGAAAGAGGGACCAGAGACCTTCAAAAATTCCAGAAGCATACAATTAAGGGACGGCAGAAATATATTAAAGGACGAATTTACGATGAAAAAGCAACTCATTTCAAATTGACCTAGGGATGGTGAGTACAAAGAAAGAAGAAAAAATCATTAGAAACGGCCCAGAGTCCGAGAAAGACCCTTTCCTTCTCCTTCGATTTGTACATTGATGCGACTCACTACGCTGTCCCCTCTTCAACACTACGCTCTCTGTGCTCTTTGATCAATCGCCATGTAAAGACCTACGCGAGCGATGAGTTGGTCGGTGGGCGTGCGCTGGCCCACCGCGCCGAGATTGAGCCTTATTACGTCCCCGAGGTCACCTACTTCCGTGCCAATTGCGCTTCAGTTCGCGCTCTCAGGAAGTCCGTGGGTCCTTTATTTAGGTGAATTACTCCTTCTACGACCTTCATACTAATCGTGAATTCGTCCTTTAAGTTTCAACTGCAAATAACAGAAATCGTTATAAAAACAATGTGAAGAGCAACAAATTTAGTCTTAAGTATTTTTTATCAGATGAGTATAAGCAGACAATAATAATGTTTTATCAGACGAGATAAGCAGACAATGATAAGTACTGACTACTGTAGCTGAGCGCATGATGAAGTAACGAAGAGTTGGCACGTTGATTGTTGAGGTGGTTCCTGTTGAAGGGGCATTCCAAAGTTACAGTTAGAATTACAATCGTAACGATATGTTGTATCGAAGCAGTAGCTGCTTGGTGTATACTGATCGTAGCGGGTCCTCTCCTAAAAATATTACATTAAAAAAAGAAGCCTTTAAGAGGATCGCAATGGCGCAAAATAGCTGTTTAAGAAATCAAAACTGAAATAATAAACATGTAAGGGAAGTTTTTATGTGGGCCAGGTTCGTTTGGTGAAATTTTTACTTTATTATGTCCTGGTATTATAGCAAAGCTTTACACACACACACGTTTTGTATCAAATCCTTAGCCAGTAAGTGCGCTGAAATAACTTTCAGAAGGTGGAAGCCGTACTGCTCTAATAACACTGTTCCGCTTCCCTACAGTGAAGCCTTCCCCATGGAATGTGGAAGGAGACTTGGAGCGATTGAAAGCAGATTGTACATATGTCCTGCAAGGAGCTTGGCATAACGACATGGACTCGAGGATTCACAAAGAAGTGTTTTTCAGCCTTGCGAGAGCTCAGCAAATACGTAAGGACATTTTATGACAGCATGGTGCCATATGATACGGCACCTGCAGGACACATGGGACGGCGTGACACCCTGGGGTACCACTCCCTTTTTTCTTATAGTCTGTTCAGATTTAGTTGAGTCTGAACATAACTAAGAACCACGCGGTCCAAAATACTGTCAGAGAGCCATGTTTCTCTGAGTTTTTTGGTTTTATTTTCCAGATTGCAGACAGCGCTAGCGAAGGTGGGCCTCTATCACACCACCCACCATAAGAGCTAAAAGCGTGCTGTTGCCAGGTGTCTAGTTCTCCTACTCTGTCACTTTTACACCTTGGTTTCAACGCTGGTAAAGAGTTATTGAATCAAAGAAAAGGGAAAAGTACAGAGGACCCTGTCATCCTGCTGTGACATGGGTCATCTGTTACGTTTTTGCGTCGGAACATCCGCAATAAATGAAGTGCTGCACTGAATGGCTTTAACTTCCCGCAGTTTAAACTGGACTGTCTGAACGTGATGGATGAGTATGTCTAGAATGCATGAAAAAAACATCTAAGGAGCTCAACTCATACTTCAACTGGTGCTCCAGATTTTGCTTTTGCAGAACGAAATGCATTGGCAGGGGTTTTGTGAGTTGAAGTTTCTAGAAAGCTTTCACAGCGATCGGAGTGCTGCCCAGACGGACAGGAGTGCCTCAACAACAGCGTTTGAGGTGAAAGTGAAAGCGTATGGAGAAGCGCTCACTTCTTCTAATAAAGTAATCTGAGCACATGTGATTAGCTGAAACCTTGGAAAATGAGTTAGTTAAGCAATAAAAGTTCCCTTGGATTACTGCGAAACGACCCCTTCTCTAAGGCCAATACATTTCCCAATCAGAATTTCGCAGCCACCTTATCCATAGGTCCCAACACCCATCCTACCTGCCACTGTTTCCGACTTTTTCCTTGAATGCCCCTCGCTCGTAGTGGAGGGGAAAAATAGTACGTAGTAGTACCAAAAAAGTTACCACAAGTCCAATTCCACCCGATATACCTCTCCTCCAGCCTTCCTCACCCCCTTGGTATTGCCGAACACTCCTCACCTTTCGAGGAACCCTCGACGTTGCTGCACCTTGCCCTTTTTGGGTTCCTCTAGTTAGTGAATTTCAAACTTCTCAAGAACAGCAAGGAAGCCAATGGTGGGTGCTCCAAATCGTCGATGGGTCGCCGAAATGAAGTATGCACCGCTGGAGCTGAGCATTGACGGAAATCCAATGCAATATCACTAAGAAATAATTCCTTTGAACATTGGCGAAATGGAAAATGACACAGAAATTTCAAAGAAGCGTCGGCCCTCCACGCAGTCATGTAAAATTTGTACGAAGTTCTTTGAAAAAGTTCTCCCTTTGATCTTCGCCATCCTCATTCATTGGATATTGGACACCCACTTTGACACACCAGTTCGATGGCTGCCGAAACTGCCTTGTTTAATTGAAATCGATTGACCGATTTCAAAATCCAATCTACTCTTCACAACCTGCACATTGAATTTTACATTGTCTGGCACCGATGTTTGGATAAAACTGCTATGAAACTTTTTGCTCCTTTTTAACACTTCTATGGTTTCAAGCACTTTCCACTCAACTCTAGTCTCGTACAGTTTTTATGTAACGTTTTCTTCGTGCCATTAAGACATTTTGGCTCAGTGATGACAACCGAAGAGTGGCACCTGTACAGCTACTTCTGTTGATGGTCCCTGTGTTTACGGCTTCCCCAGCCGAGGCAAAAGCAACCCTTACTGTCGAGGGTTTCCTCTATTTTTCACCCTAGAGGGGCTTCCCCCGATGACCAAAACTGTAATATTGTATTTAAATATGCTTTCAGGTTCTGTTTTTTGTTTATACTTTGACAGTGAGCGGGACCGTGCAACTCTGCTCCAGAGGAGTGCAGGTCTATGATGTGTTTTCCCTATTACAAAGATCACTAATGAGGAAAAGGGCATTAGCTATTCCTGGTAGGGTAACCCAAGTATCATCTAGAAGTACTGCATACTTCCGACTTGAGAGCCTGTTTTTGGGGCCTAAAGGCTCAGCACGAGGGCGAAGCATTTAAATAAAATAGCTCCTGAGATCGCGAACATCGACGGCTACAAAACTCACAAAAGCTCTACGGTACTTTATCTTTCGGTTCGTTTTCGTATGGACATTACACTGTGTACTGTATCCATTAGGAAAGGTCGTTTAACGTGCTTCTGTTGGGGTCGGAGGGAGAGGGGGGTGGGAGCCGGGTAAAGGAAGACATCGCAAGTGCTTTCATACGAACTGAGAATGAAAATTCGTGAAAGATTCAAAATCAGAAATGACACTTCTTGAGCAGAAAGGATGACTGTAGATGATAAAAATGACTTACTTTCTCTCTCATCTCTTTACGTCTCCACTTGGCCCGTCGATTTTGAAACCAGACCTGAACGAAAATAGATTTCGTGATTAGCAGGACAGATCAGCATCAAAGTATGCAGCGGATCTGTAAACTCTGCACAGGAAGAGGGGCAGTAGGAAGTGTCTACGAATAGGCTATTGATTTTTGTTTCTATATATTTTTCTATCGTCGGTAATAAATCAGCTTCAGGTCGGTTGACGTTCGCAACACTAACAATTGTTGTGCGATTTGTTTCAGTCGTTAATCTCGAGCGCCGTCTCGGACATCTGGCCAATATACCGTATCGCAGAGCACATGTCCAACCGTCGCCATCCTCAACTTCCGACACTCATCAGCTGGATCCCGCGGGTGATTGGCATTACGCAGCACAGTATCCCACAAAGAATGACTTGCATCGAGTTACATGAACGCTTTTCAAAATCCCGTGACCCTCCGCTTAGGAACGCAACCCCAGCATGGGCAGGAACCTGTCATGGTTTACTTCGAGGGAACCATGAAAGGAAAGATATAGGTACAGTAAGGTGTGATATCATAAGAGATTATAAACAAGATGTGAGAATGAATGAATGATGGATGAAGTGTAGAGACAAACTTAGCATAGAGCATTTTAATCTCTATGGAGTGAGAAAATTATGGTAGTTTTGTTTCAGTAAACGTCCCCGATGCTCAAAAGGCACTAAGCTCGCAAGCTATCAGCGGAGGTGGGAGGTTTTGAAGTCGAGCCGGCTGTGCTCGATCGGTCTTGTGATGAGTTTCTTCCAGAGAAGTAAGGTCAAGGTATGCAAATATAGATGTGATGATGTACCTTGAGGTGAGTATTCACAACTGACATCGATTTGAGCCTTCTAGAAAAACTTCTTTTCTTGAAGACTGAAGGAGTTTCCTGCAAGGTGACGTCTCCCAAAGGATTATCGATACCAGGACCACCGGACAGTTAGTGTTTCACGCAGAAAAAAGTGAAAATTGATTGAAAGGATGATAATGTGAGCTACTACAGTACTAAGTACGTGAGTTACACCAGAAGTCGTTTTGGTAGTTTTGTGTATTCGGAAATACTAGTTGATTCGCTTGTTCCCCACCACCTCAATGCTAGTTTGGCTTGCCAATAACTACCTTTACTTTCACCATGTTCCAGCCTTGATGGAACTCACTGCAGTGCTGACAAGTCAGTACTGCTTATTTTGTTGCTTCGCCGGTCGTGACTAACTTTTCATAAGGTACTAGCTATTTGTAGCACCCGTTTGTTTCAGAGCTGGGCGTGAATCCAGGCACTGACGAAGGCGAAACCAGTGAGGGCTAGGCTAGAGGAAGGGCTTCGAACAACGCAAATGCGACCACATTTTAGCCGATAAAGCAATTTTGTGAGCGGTTTCTGGCTGCACTGACCCAACCAAACTTCACAATCTGACGTTGCATGCAGTATGGGATAGAAGATGGCATGAATTATAACTATGTAGCTTTGAAAATGCCATTGCAAAGCCAATAGATCATATCGAAATCAAATCAGCTCATCCCCTTGCTGTCAAGAGTCTCAAGGAAAGTACTCAGATTAAGGTGAGCAAGAAATATGCAGGGAGGAGGAGTGAAATTGGATGCTGTTCAAAAAGAAGTGTGCCTACCGTAATTCGATCCTCTGGAATGTCAAGCTTCTCGGCCATGTCTTTCTTAGCCGTCTGATCTGGATAGTGGGATTCTTGAAACGCTTCTTCCAGCAGCAACGATTGAGCTTCTGTGAAATTCGTACGAAATCGTCGTTTCAGCGCCGAGTTGGGAGACTCTGAAATCAGGAATTTTAGCCCATGCGCGATGCGTCCTATCCGTCCTGCTTCCAGACGCCTATAAAAGCCTAGAAGAATGAGCGATACCCCTCACTACAAAAAATGTTGACAGCTGGAGTACCCTCCTTGCAGCTACTTATTAAGCTGGAATATTTTATTTTAGTTTATTCATTTTCGTCCACTTCATAGGGCACCATACGTGAGAAAGAAAGCGGAACATCCGAGCTGATGAGGAGAAAAACTGACGACTTTTCCGATACTACTGCAATTTCATCTGTGAATAAGGAGGGATGAATCTCGTTCAGGTCCAACTCTCCTTGCAAATTCACATTCTCGAGCATTGCACGCCTTGTCTGGATATTCAATGTAAACTTTGACTGACTCGACATTATTGGAATGTTTGTTTTTGAACACCGAAGTCCACTGAGATGTCAACATCACCCCTTCTAATATTGTCTGCTTCCTTGTTGTTCAATGAACTGAGGGATCTTTCGACGAGATCTATAGTGTCAGGAGAATGTTATAGTGCAGTAACTCATTTGGAAGATACTGTCTGAGCTCAGATATTTACTTGCTAAAGTGCAGCGCTATCCATGAGAAACTCCTCAGAGGAACTAGGTGGCGTAAAGGGATGAAAAATAAAGCATTCGGCGTTAATCCGGATAGTATTCCCATCAAAAATCGTGGTGACAATTTGAACAGCTTGGCCTGTGCAATGGTTGTCGAGCGGAAAGTATAAGTGAAAACTGCCCAATTAAGGAACGATTTCGGTTCAAAAATGGAGATTACGGGAAACGCGACTTCTCCTAACGTTTTTTTGACACTGGTAGTAGAATGACTATGGAAGGAAAGCAAAACTAACTGCGTTTGACACAGCTAAACTTAAGTACTGTGAAGTCCTGCTCTGTGAAGTTTGCCTACTCTCAAAACACCTCTCCCAAAATTATTCTTTTGTAAAGTACCTTTCATAATTTCCACAACCCTATTTCATTATCACGAAGGCTTTGTTTGTGAATTAATAATATTTTTGGAGATTCCATCATATTAAATCAAAAGCTTATAAGGCAGAAATTACGTCTTCAGCTTATGTGGGACTCTCTTTTGGAAAAAGGCGCACTAATTGGCCTTCGACCGACAGCGCTCATAGGAGCTCTAATCGCATGAAAAAGAACAAAAACAATAACAAAATAAAAATACCGCTGCGATCGGGTTTCCGTTTGATAGCCGACGTTGGTGGCTGCCGCCAGTTTGCCGACGTCGCGTCGCACATCTGTATCGGGTTATGGTAAATGCGGCTCACAGCAACCACTTGCATTCGACGTGAAATCCCCGCCTTTTTGCCTTTAAACTTAAGATTCTGCCAGTCTTGAAACTTTCTATTCATAATTATTCACAGTTATTTACTTATTTATTCAGCTACAGCCTACTGTATTTGTAAATAGTGATTTAAGAACGTCACGTTTGTACATTCTCAAAAAGCGGGCTGAGGTGGACTGCCATAAAAAGAGCTGAATAGGAACTAAACTGTGTTTTAGATTCCTTTTTCTGCTGTAAAAAAAGTGAAGGCGACAAGCGAACCACGTTGGCCAATTCATTTGTGGGATGCGCTACGCATACCGATTTATTCCGAGCTTGCGATACGTAAATATTTCAAATTTGATAAAGATTTATGATGTAAACACTATTATCATTACAATAAGTTTTTTATTGTTATTGATAACAGAAAACGACGCAATAGTGTTTATACTAATATACGAATGTATAGAGATTCTTTAAAACATTATATGACAACAATGATAATTAATTAGAATTTAAATAATACTGTCATGATATTAATACAATTAGTTGATTTGGGGATAAATAGAAGACATCTGATGGGTTATCAATCGAATCAAGCGCCGTATTTGTCTTTCAGCAAGTTCATTGTGAATCCCATCATGGAATAGAGCGACCGCATACGAGTTGAAACGCCTTGATCCGCGAAGATTTTTCAGCATGTTGATTCCTGAGAGCGGCTCTTTCTCTTCAGTTTTCATCTGAAAATCTCCACTATCGATTAGTCGCCCATACGATAATTCGAGAAGCTTGAAAGCAAAACTAGAAAACGAGGAAAGAGATAGCGGGGCTGGAACATTACTCGAATTTCTATAACGTTCGGCTAAATTCGATAGGCCATTTCAGAACCCAATTTTGAACCTATTGAAAGGGTGATTGGATTCGGTATTCTGTCTTGACTGAAATACCTAACAGCGCTAGGCTGCACTATTGCATGATTCCAAAAGAAAGAGATCTCCATGGTCATTCCCTTATTAGGAGGTGAATTGCACTGCGCGATTTATACCCGTACTTTGACTTGAAGTAAATTGAATTTTAGCGGAAAATAAAAATATCAAGGAATTTTCCAGCTTATCCCTTCTTTTATCGACTATTCTTTAGCTTTCTAACTCTGTGACCAGTTTACGCAATGTGGCGAACAAAGCTTGTGATTGGTGCCAAAGGCAATCCACCAATCATAATAGCGCCCTCCAGAGACCGGCAGTAAGCACGAATATTTCCTTTATACAGTAAGCTGAGAAAATTTTGGCCAATACGACATCTCCCCAGTACAATTGGTGAATACGACCGCTCCTTCTTCTACGGCCCACTCCCACCTTTCTCATCTTCTCGTTGTATAGTGTAATGGGGAAAACAACCTGCTTTAGCCTGTCCACTTTTGGCTCACCCTGTTATAAGATGCGAAAGGAAGTACAGTGAAGGAGAATTTACCCAGTCATTAACCAGTCCCAGCAAAAACTCCACGAACACCAATACGCAAAGACGAAAACAAGTCAGGCTTACTCGATAGAGCTTGTACTGTGCTCCAGATCTTCCAGTGATGCTCATGCAGCAACTTGATGTTGGTGGCTTCACAGAGATATCAAGCTCTTTTCTTATCCACTCTGAATAGAAAACGATTGTATTTGATAACAGTTGAACACACAGTTTAGACCTACCTGTAGTATAGCTCACAGATATCGATTTTGAAGGAATCGATATTGAAAATGCGATCATATCAAGTCCTAGGCTCAGTGGACGCATGAAGTCATCTAATGACTTCGCCTTCAGTTCCGCTGCCCAAGCTTAACAGAAATAGTTCAATTTAGGATTTCTGAAATACCCAGAAATGGGTGTGAAACTGCTCACCGGTACTGGTGTCAGACACAAGGGTTTTTCGCGACGTGTTGAATGCATTGAATGTTGCCTGCATGAACTGTTCCAGCTTCTTATCCGATGCCTTTCCGTAAGATTCCATGCACAGCTCTTGAAGCATGTTAGTAGCTTGACGATGCACGTAACTGATCATCATCTCACATCTTGCAGAAAGCTTCTAAAAATCGGCCATCACTGAGAAGGTCACCAAGAGGCCCTGCCCTGATGAAAAATTGCGCAGAAGGCGCAGTCTTTTGCTTAGCTACAATTAAGAGCTGTTGGGTTTTTCCTTGTCGTCAAAGTTTTATTGACAAAAAATGGAACAGTTACTGCTTCTATAAATTTTTACAGTTATTGCTTAGCTTTCTACATTACTTGATGTTGATTCATTTGAGAGCGGTGGTGGCGATGGCTAAGGGGCCCACTCAAGCGAGCTAGGGTGTACACCCTTGAACCAATGACGTCCCCAACTTCGCTCTGTCTTGCATTCAGGGGAGCTCAAATTTATTATTTTTTATTTATATTATTATTTATTATGCACGGTAAGGTGTGCTACATGGTGGAGCATTTAAAGAAGGATTCCACGATAAGGGCGAAGGTCGAAGAAGGGGAAACTTACCTAGTGGAAAGACAGACGGACCCTATAAGGACCGACACGCGAATCGAATCGAGTTATATGCTTCGGTATTTTAGCAAAACCCTCCCCGCGGCGCTATCGGCGGGGTACGCCTCCCGACTGGCTAACCACGCGCTGCAGGGCTCTAGCCGCGTAGCAGAAAGAGCGCTAGCGTTGATGAGGGCAATACCGACGAGAGTCGCATCAATGCGGAGACCAGCGGGCAAGGAAGGGATCTCAATTTCCAATTTGGCCGTTTTTCTAGATTTTTTTTCATTCGTACATAAATCTCCAACGGGCTATCTCCAACGGGCTACCTTTTCATCATGGAATACGTCTTTGAAAGAAATGGTTACAAATTTAAACGACCAAATAATATAAAATAGAGATTAAGCAACACCTTATGTATGAAAAGAAAGCTCTGCTACGTAAAAAAGAAGAAAACTACCTCTCGTTTCACTGCCGAATTTTGTGTTTGAAGTGAAGATAGGGACAATGTGGAGAATGCTGATCGCAGCGACGTCAGTGAAATAGCTACCCCACGAGATTCTCCTGGGTTCTGCGTGTTCACCTTTGAGACCTGTAGCAGTGCCTCTGTTCTGCGCCATATCGTCTGAAACACGCTATGCTTCTTCATTGTGTTCCCTAGCCTGCTTCCGAACTTGGAAGCACATTCAGTGGCAGCAGTGGGTGAAAAAGTGATTGTGGGCGTTAAGACCCCCTAAGGGCAAAGAAGAGTTGCAGCTGAAAGAGAGGGTGGATGCGTTGTACAGCCTCAGTGCGAAGGAACTTGTAATCTATAAAGAGATCAGACGCCGAAGAAGCGAGAGAGGAGAGAGATGAGAGAAGCTAAAGCACACGTCCATCGGAGGTTTATAGGTTTACAATGACCAAAGACGTGGAGCACCAGCATCTAGATTCTCAGCTGCGATCGGTACAATTACCATCTTTGTGGACGAGCCTACCTCACTCAAAAAGAGGGTTTCCTAGTCTAGTGCCAAATATCGGATAGCATTCTTGTTCGTTGCTGTTGCTTTGAACTACGGTATTTTCTTCTAGAAAAAAACATTATAATTAACATACACGTATGAACGAAGATGTCAGCTCCGGACTTCTTATGAACCCAGCATTTGTTAATCTTCTCGAAGTGTTACTCGCAGCCATTGCAAGAAAATATCGAGAGATGGCTTCGACAGTTTTGCCCATGTCTTGCACTGCTCTGAAAACCATAGTGGAATAGGAATCAAAAATTGCATATATTCCTTTCGATTGCTTAATATTGAAACCCAAAAAAATTATCAAGTGGGCAGTAGTAATCTTGCACAAAAAGCGTTGTTCATTGAGTCATACAAAAATAAAAATATAAGGTGGCCGGCTGTGTTATTCCCATTGGGATGCATTACACATCCTAGCTCTATAAGATTCAGAAAAAAACCTTCAGAGCGCCAAACGGGCCCAAGCGATACTTTTTGAGTTTCGATCGATATTTCAACGTCTTCATCCACCCAGACATCTCTACTGCCGTCTAGATGAGCTAGTGGCAGAAGATTGAGCCGGTTAATGTTTTATTGAAAGGCATCCTCTTGCCGCTGCGCTTTGCTTTATATAGGGCTTTGGCACTTTCAGTTCTTATTTACCTGTGACGACTCGGAAGCACAATGAGCAAATGAATAGGTGTCGTGTATTCTGGTCGCAAATGAAGCACTCGGGATAAGCGGTATATCAGTAGCGAAAGAGGCGAATGAACTGCTAAAACGCCCTGAAATCACTGAAGCCCCAAAATCGTGCCAACCTATGGGCGGTGTTTGCGCTACGCCCATACGAACTTCCCACGGAGTGACCTCAATCCTTACCGTAGTACACCGTACTATACCACTCTAGAGAAACAGCTAACCACTGAGATTTCGTAATCATCCATTGTAGTTCCAAAGAATCTCAGTAGTTCTTTTCGCTTTGTTTCATTACTGGAGAACATACCTCCCTCAACTACATTCATTTTATAACGCATAGCCCTACCCACTCCGCGAGCTGCTTTTTCTTAATACAGTTTGAATCGAAAATAAATTGAAATTGAGTAGGAAAAATTGAACCATCCTAAGGACTCCCCTACGAAGACGGTTTTTTTTTCGTTCGCTTAACTGCCATCATACTAAATGAATTGTCATAGAAACTTTCCATACGTACTTAATGACATCGTCCGCAGTCTCAACCCGATCCAACTGAACGAGAAACGTGGCTACCGCTCTAATAAGGGGTCCATATCGGGCCTCACTGAGGCATATCAGTGTGAGGCCGCCGATAGTGTTGCAAACCATAACGTTGACGAAGTATGGAATGACCGATTTCTTCGAGCGAAGCCATACCTGGAAAGAATAAATAGTTTTCTGGCTCAGAATGACCTATGGAACGGAACGGCAAAAGAGTCGAAAAAATAGACTGCTTCTTAGATAGTTTTCTGGAATTTGAAAATTCCACTCTGATCTTATCTATACGTTTTGAGTTCAAATGTCAAGCCAGTTCAATTTTGAATCGACCAATTATCCTAGATTGTTTAAAAGTCTTGCAAAACGTGCAATTTTTAAGTATTACTGCTTGTGGAAGGTCATGTGTTTGGAGTGCAACGCGTGCACCAGCCGGTTTTGATGGGTCAGTGTTAGCGCTCCACCAATCACAGAAGTTCTATCATGCGCTCCCGCCTATATCCAAGGTTTCTCAGCAATCATTTTATGAGCATGTCACCACACCTGAAATATTTTTCCATGATCGATCGATTCAAGAGCAGAAATCTGCTGAAGCAGGAAGTTTAAGTCATAGCTTGTTAGGTGCTTCAACGTCAGCTTCTCGTCGTCAGTGGAATTGACCGAGACAAGTACTTCGCCTTCACTTGCTAACAGAATCCTAAAACGACTTAATTACAAAGTAGTATATTACGGATTATGCGGTAGTTCGCGCGGCATGGACCAACCTATTTGGGCCTAGAACTTCCTGTAGCTGAGTCGCTAAGGTTTCAAGAAGAGGCAAGGTGATGGCGATTTCAGACTGGAAGAATATCGCCTTGCGAACATCCAGGAACCCTGTAAAAGGAGTCAATCTGGATACGTTCAATTTGAACAAGACAAATGGATTCAGATGGTGTCCAGGAAAAGAAGGGTATTTTCATGTGCAGCGAAGACAGCTTTCTGAAACTTTGGAATGTTTCAGGGCATTTGAGAAGTACTACAGTCAAGAAAATAGCACATGCTTTTCCATAAGAGCATGTTCATCACAGAGGCATTTTTTTCAATATTATCCAGTTTATGACTAGAACTAAGTTCGAAGCATTCGGCGTTATTTAGTCCCACTCAGAGTCAATACTGCGTTGCGCAGTTCTCAACGGCCGCGTTGCGCAGTTTCGCCCGATTAGACACGCTCTCTCGCGCGAACATTCACACTCGCATGCTCGAGCCGTCTGTGTCTCCTCCCATACAGCGTGCGTCGAGGATCTCTCAACGTGCCGTTGCGAACTGCGCAACGCAGGGTCGACTCTGATCCCACTCTGAGCTGTATCACGCATTCTACTTAAACATCGTGGAAAGAGGAAATAAGGAATGTGTGAAAGGAGTTTAAAAAGGCCAACCTTTAACTTTCTTGTTTTCAAATAAGCATGGTCTGTCATTGAAGGATTTGAGGAAGTCTGTAGCCATATGAACGGTATCGAGATCTGATTCAATAAGTGATAAAAGAGGGCCGATGTGCACATCAAGGCCCAATTCCATATAATCCATAAATCTATATTGTCGTTGTTCACTGAAAACCATCCAGAAATGACAGCAAACCATGAGTCGTACTTCACTACTGCTCTCTTTAGAACTGTCAAATTGGTTCTGATACATTTGTATGATGGTTCAGATATGAAATGGAAGAAAATGAACATTTAAATTATCAAGTACTTGAAACAAACGAACTGTAAGCAGTGCTATTAGTTTCTGATTCCTGGTGCTCAAAAACTGCTCGTTTATAATTTATGTATTTCAAAGGCTATAAGTCAAACATTTGTGGGGTTGTTAAGTGGTCATTCTGATTGCATAAATTGAATAAAGTCAATCTGAGACTTGAAAATGAAAAAAAATCCTTAGCTCAGAAAAGCTAACCTATTTCCAATAGATATCAGTAGAAAGTCATATTTAAGTCGTTTCAGGAGTATTGTGACTTGATCGGAGGTTGTTGAATAGATACTGTCACTGCAACGACTAGCAAATGACCGGTACATTGAGATTAGTGGTAGAAATAGGTGAGAGATTTCCGGATTGGCAGATATCTCGTTGACTCTGGATTCGATAGAGGTGGACGGCTCATCTCGTAGCGATTCAGTAGAGGAGGTGTCGCTGTAGACACCACTTGAAGTGGACGGTGCATCAGGTTGGAAGAGCCCTTCGGCGCAAAGACGACCGTGAAGATACGAGTCAAAACCGCTATCACCGCCGTAGTAAAGAACTTGATTCTTGTTCGAAATTAGCACATAGCCAAACATTTTAGTGCGTTGAACCTGGAAAAATTGGTACGAAGGGTATTCGTGAGAAGAATAAGCGGCCATCGAGGTAGCAATGAAGACTTTATAGCGGATGAGGTGGAGGACGCCTACTGTAACCGTCGAGTAGGAAATGAGGGTAAATGAAAATATTGGGAAAAAAGGAAGAATAGAGTAGCTGCCCAGTGCAGCGGAAGAGTTAATTCCAGTAAGGGGAGGTCCCTATTGCGAGTTCGAGGAAGGAAGGGAATTGTCCTCTCACTTGCCACCCTATCACTACTGCTCGGTCATAAAAATGGAATGCTATTCATATTTTAGTGGATTGGGTGAGGTCAGTTCTTTCGCTTAGCTTAGATGGTCATGCTAGCGTACGTGCTGTACTCGTGCTGTACTTCATAGTTTTCGATAAGTCAGCTTGCTCTAGCGTTCCTCGTGGCACTAAGTTGCACATGCACTAACGGATGCACTCATCAAGACCAAGCAGGAATTTTCACTGATAAGGATACATGTGAGGGATAGTATGTCAAAGTCAGCTCCATTCCCTTTTTATTTAGGCAAAATACAAAATTCATGAGAAATCCGTGAGTTATCACAGAAATAGCTTATCCAGGAGTGCAATGTTTAATAAGTTCCCCTTGCACTGCCGTATTCTTGGGAGCAAACAAACTACATTAAGAAATAGCTTTCCAGATTTTAATCAGGCTTGTAATATTTTGGCCGGAATACCCTTTTATTTTTGAATTAACTCGGCGGTTTCTGAATCCCTGCCCACTCTTCTAAACACCAATTCCAAATTGATAGCCAACGATGACCGGTGATAAGCCCTCACTTCGGGGTAGACCTCTATCTCATTGAGAAAGATTTTGAACTCATGACCTCCTCAAGCCTCCATACTACGCTCTCATATGTATGTCCATGGTGCTGCTGAACTTGATATGACTTGATCGAGAGGGGGGGGGGGATAGATGGGGTCGATAGCTCGAAAAGAATGATATGGGTCTACACATCCCTTCAAACACCAAGCGAGGTCTTTCAGTTCAGCACGTTACAGGTGAAATTATCAAATTTCCCTCAATCGTTTTCAGAGTTGATACTCCTCACTCCAAAAGAAACCCTTTTCTCCAGAAAGGCTCCATCAAAAGCCGCAAAACGAAATTCTCGTTGAAAATTTCCCAGCTTTTCCTTCCTGGGTTCAAAATTATATAAGCGAGCGCTTCCCTAGTCATCGATTCAATTTCTATATAGGAACTGACTAGAGTCATGTTATTAACCCCTTCAGCATACACATTTATACATGAGGCCTATTTAAGGTCTCTAATTCGACAAAACCCAAAAAAAATCAGAAGAGGCCCCTTGTCGTTGACTCTGTTTCGAAATACAGCAAATGCAATAGATTCAAAGGCAGTGATCACGACGGCTGGAGAGCGTCGATGCTTTAATTATGTCGTGACGTCATTGAAAAGAAAAGGAAATAAGAAAAAATAAGAAACGGTTCTGACTACACATTTACAAAACCAGCGAGACAAGTCCACCAAAGGTTCGCACTGTTGATCATCCCCTCCAGTTATCGTGGTCGCTGCCTTTAAACGAATCAGTGACCGAAACGATCTCGCGGCTCTAGCTGAGGAAAGTTTCAAAAGTGAACAATAATATGAAAAAGGAATCGCCTGCAAACTTTCCACGAAATCAAGTGATTAAGTATGCATAACGACGGAACATGCATTAAATTCGAAATGAGTGATGAGTGAGGGTCAGCGTTGTAAAATGTGACATCAGTAGGTAGAGTCACTGCCGACGGAGGCGGTGATAAGAAGACCCGAGACAGAGAACCGATAAGGCAACCCAAAAACAAACAAGGCCCTACTACCGCTGAACCGCAAAACAACGCGTTCTCCCTTCGGTCATCGTCATCAGCGGGCGATTTAATAGTTTGAGACCAATGGCCGAAAATCACGTAGTCTCAGTGTAAGTACTAGGAAGAACCGTACCAGGAATGGAGAAATTGGAGACCATCAGAGCTCTTAGCATGACTAAATATATGTCAAAACTAGTTTGTGCTGCTAGTGAGCTCCAACACATTCAAGGTCATGAGACTGAGATTTCAAGGCGAGTAAGGACGAGCGCCCAGTAGTCACTTGAGGAATGACAAGCTTAAAGCAACAGTCCCAGCAGGATGGGCGGGGTCGGAAACGATTGCAGTCTCCTCGGCCGATTGCGACCACGCCCACTTCAGCTCCCTGCCTAACGGCATTCCAAGGTAAGTTTTTGTTCAGTCACACTTATTGCGTTCTTGACTAGGGGCCGAACAGCTCCGAAGTGGGTATCGGCCGAGCGGATTACAGCCGTTTCAGACCACGCCCACTCTGCTGGTACTCTTGCTTTGATACAAGTTGCGACCTTGAGATCCCAATCGAATGCTGGCTACAATTCTGTACTAGTCGAAATCTGCTTTCAATGTTAGTTGTAAGATGTATAAGAGAAGGTTTTGTCACAGCGAGGCTCAAATGGAAAAACAAGTAGTTAAGAGAATATTTGAGCTGTGAAAGGGTAGCTGAGAACAAAAGCTCCGAAAGCAGCAGCAGCTGCAGAAGGTCGTGCTTCTCTAGACGCTAGAGATCCTGCTCCTACTTCTGATGAGACAGTGCTTATATAGTGCTGATTACCAATATCTCCACGACTTCTTTGGATATCCACTACAAATCACAAAAGGCCTATCAAGAGCCTTTTTCTGTATGTGGCCGGTCAAGTGTAGAGGTGTTAAGACGCCTTTTAACCTTCGTACACCCATTTTCAGAGGAAAAAGCGGCATGTAGTGCCACAGCCAGGCGATTGCTAAATGGCTCAAATCCTGAAGCTATTTCTGATTGGGCTGACTTCTACCACTCTACCTCTCCAGCACTGCTTACATGGCTCCAGATCTAGAAATCATTGAATCAACCGACCCGGACGACTCGTTATATGAATCCTCAACGATTCAGCTGTCATCTCAATTATGGTTTAGAAGTCAAATTCGGGAACGAGTCCTGTACATGCCTCTCAAGGTTTTCACTATTAAGTTGGAAGCAACCAAGGAAGAGGAACACCGACCTGGACGCTTGCTCCGAGTTAGTAAATTCATGGGCTAACTGCATATTCATTCGTTCGAATATGTACATCCTAATGAAAGTCGAACGCGTGGCGCACTCCAAGAGGAATTTCGTCCGGTATATATTCAGCACTTCATTTTCCTCATACTTATTGAGTAGAAAAAGGCCAAAGTTGCATAGGAGGAAATAGTTTCAAGGCCATTTTTTTCTGAGCGAATGTAAATTTCCCTGCAGACTGTGATATGTCGATGTGGCTTGCATAATCAAAAGATCTTAGCGAAGTTACTCGAGTAAGTTTCCTCCCAATTTTTTTGCCAACCCCTCGATTTCCATTAAACAAGGATTTTTCGGCAGACCATCGACATCGTAGGTCGAAGGAGAAAACCCAATATCCGATAAATGAAGATGGCGAAGATCAAATGGAAAACTTTTCTATAATTTCGCACAAGTGTTCCATGCCTGTATAGAGGTGCCCGTGCTGATTTCAACTTTGTCCGTGATTTTCTACTTTGTCCTTTCAAAGGACTATTTCTTCATTGGATTTCTGCCAAACCCCTTTTCCAGGCTCCTATGAAAGCTTGATCGATGGTTCGAAACACCCACCTCTGGACTATTTCGTGTCCTGGCCAGGACTAGGAAGATCGATGTCCTGAAATCAAAAGAACCCAAAAGGAAAGGGAAAGGTGCCCGAACGTGAGGCTTCCTCAATAGTAGTATCATTATATGACATGTTACTCGTTCGTCCTATTATTCTTCGTCTCTGAGGGCAAAGGATCTGCTATTGACAGGGTTCTCGTAAGTTGGTGGTTTATCTTGTTGTTGCGTTTCCAGACGTTTTGCTTCGAGCTAGTGTGGTAGTTCTGGTCGGAAAGCGGTATTTCTGAGATTCGATTTCTAGCCTAATGAAGTTTCTCATTCTGACAGAACAACTAGAAAAGAGGAAAAAAGAGGAGTGAGAAATTGCGCCCTATGTGTAAGTGTTGCTAGATTCTAAAACCCGAACCTTCAAAATATCTCAACTCCATCGGAAATCATGCAAAAAAGGTCTAAAATCTACATTGAATGAATATGAATATAAAACAAAAAGAATAGAGAGTGTAGAAATAAGACGTAATACTCAATAACGGTTCTCAAAGCAAGCCAAGTAATACCTCTTCAACGAATCCAATCCCTACGTTCCATCCATTCGTACTGTCACTAACAAGGGAAGTCTTTTAGGGCAGGGTCAATCCTACGTTGTTACTAGTAACAACGGGCGGGGTCGTACCTGGTTGAGTTTATAGGAGGGGGGGGGGTCGTATCCGCTTCAGTCGCGTGAAAGTACATGTGAGGTTGTAGTGAAAGTGGAGTTTTCACGAGTAGTAGGCTAGGTGAGTTGGGAGCGCATGGGAGAAAAATTCGCCGTTTCAGCGCGCGTAAAATGGAGCCGTGGGATTATAGGCAAAGAGTGGGGGAAATTGGTAGAAATTTAGGGAATTTTGGTAACTTTTTACTGTTTCATATTGGGTATATACCCTCTCCCCCGCCCGACGGCATTTTTGGAGGGAAAAGTGGGCGGGGTTTGGTGGGTTGAGTGGTATCAGAATTAAGTACATCCTATAGGGACGATGATGGTGGGTCGAGGTGTCGAAAAACGGGGGGTCGTATCAAGTCAACCTTGGGGGAGGGAGGTCGTAAAATTTTTTGAAAAAGTAACAACTAGGACTGACCCTGTTTTAGAGCAAGGTGCGCTTTTTGGAAACGGCTTAGTACGTGTTCTAGGGACGCATGTAAGGACCACAAAACCATGTTTCGTTCTCGCTGAACGGTTTTAATAGCACCAGAAAAGATGTGAATAATACTCCTGATGGTTCAATCCCCCGCTGCGACTAAACTTTGCAATCAAGGTTGGCGGCCACTTGTTGGCTTCAAAATGGTCCTGACGGTGAGTTTGACATCTGGTTTTGATATTTAGCGCGATTTGGCTCCAAACCGTAGGCGCCAACCCAAATGCAAAATTTAGTCGCCACGGGGGATCGAACCCTTAACAGTACCTTATGCTTCTTTTTTGGTACTCCTATAAGCGCTTAGCGAAAATAAAACATGGTATTGCTTCCCTACATGTGTCCCTACAATATGCACAAAACCGTTTTGAAAAAGCGCACCTTGCCCTGAAAAACCTCCCTTGTAAGTCGTTACTATGCGTATTACGCACAATGGAAAAGGGCTCTCAAAAGGATATTTGGGTGCAATAGTTTATGCAGATCAAAATAACCACGATTTCCGCAAGGGAAAAAATCGCCAGGGTGGATAGGCTAACTCTCCTACGTAAAAAGACACAAGGCGTCACTTCCTATCATGTCATATCTTCCCAATGGATGAGGATGTTTCAGTGGTTTTAAAAGTCTTGAGTGCTGTTCTCTAATATGTCCTCTCCTCACATTGCAAAGAAACCTCATTCATGCATTCATATTTATTCATCAGAGCTCCATTTAGAGGGCGGAAGTGGTGTAGTGAAGTGGCGCGCTCACCACGCGAGCGGTCCGGGGATCAAATCCCGGGCCGCGAGTCGCCCAGGCCAACCAAGCCTTCCATCCCTCCGGGGTCGGTTAATTGGTACCAGACTTGTCTGGGAGGATAAAAAACACTGACTTGTACATCGGCTGGCCCCCGCAAGTCATTGTATAGGCCACATCGCATTCAAAAGCACTGCGAACGTACAAATGGAAGTAGAATGCGTGCCGCATCCCAAAAAGGGATTGATCAACGGCAAATGCTTTATGCTTTTTATGCTTTAACTCCATTTAGAAAATAGCACCGCTAAATTGAAGACCGAATTCAAAATCTGTGGCTAAAACACATCTAGTGACCTATGAGGGCTGCAGTACATACAAAGACCGTTAGAAAACTCATTCTTCTTTTGTGAGACTAGTACAGTCAAAACTTTGCTCCGGCTTTCTTATCGTAGCTCAGTCACTTGTGATTTGTGCGTAGTCACCAAGATAATAAAGGCAACTATTTGGTCGCAGACATGTGAAACGTCTAATCATATTGCCGTCATTAATGCTATATTTAGCTCCCAATTTCTTGATAATGGTCTGTTTTATTAGTGTACCACCTGACTGGTGACGCATAAGTTTAAAACCTTGATCAAAATTGTTTTTTTGCGACATTAAAACCTTTCGGTTGCCATATCTCTCGTAAAGGATAAGGGGAAGAGGACTGTGCGAACAGCCCATTTTTGGATACGCTTAGCACTCCACTTCCTTTGATATTCGCAGTGGCACTTGAATCCCTGCAGACGTTGGCCATTGTTCAATTCAGTATTAGCCTCCCAGCTGAGCCCGAAACGGCCGACCGAGCTTGGAGCGACGATAAACTTGATTGGACTAAGAGTTGTTCGCCCTGACGTTTCTGACCGGAGCCGGTTGGAAGTTACTCCGCTAGTCCTAGCACCATAGCCGTATTCTTGTGTCTCCTAAAGGCAGTTCGGGCTCAGACCCACCAAAGAAGACCTCACCATCATTAGAAGTGATGGGTACGCAAGTGCAAAGGTAACGCTACCTTTCTTCATCGAAACGCGTTAGGACCCTACCGCCACGGACTTTTAACAGACTCCACCAAACCTAACGTGGTCCGCCCAGTTCGATATTTTGTCTGCGTCGCCACGCTGATGTGCTACGCTCTCTCTTCTCGGACTTCTCTACCACTCTCCGCGCTCACATTAACTTCATCTCCCTGCCTGTCTTTTGAACATTCTCACAGCATGGAGCAAAATGCGATGATTTGATTTGAGCAATGATTTCCTGGGTATTTCAGGATTTTCTTTCCTTTTCTCTCCAATGGCGGTCCATCTCCCATCCCTGCTTTCACATTTGAGTGGAATCACCCATCAAATTATTCATGATTCATGCCTTTAAGGAAAAATAGCATGGCCTTCAGAAGCGTCAGTGCCAGAAAAACAATGACTTTTGAGGTTGTATGGAGCCGATTGCCTATTTTGAAAATATGAATGGAAGAATAATCACAACAGCGATCATACAGGATTTCATTATCTAGTAGGAGCTTTTCTGCGGAGTAGAAAAACCACCACAACTTACTTACTATCTAATGAACCTCACTATTTTCCATGAAATCGTAAAACGGAAGGAAAATTGTGTATCTTTACGACATGACAGGAATGTTTTGTACAGTAGAAAGCACGTAATTGATGCACGATAAGCCCTTATCCTTCCGGTAACAATAGTGCATCTTTTTACTTCTGTCACAGCGTGATAAGACGACTGCATGAGACTGGTCTTCATACAGAATGCACTACGAAAAATTAAATAGAATTGTCAGCTTGTTTTTGCTTGTTAACTGCTGTTTTTGGCCGCAGATCGCCTTGCGAATGTTTCACAATTTTGTTCACAAACCAGCATTCTTGTGAAACATTCGCAAGGCGATCTATGGCCAAACAGCAGTTAACGAAGAAAAACAAGCCAAAATTCATTGCTAAAGCTTCCAGCTTTGCTGTCATTGCCAATATCGGCTAATCCGCTCAATACGTTATACGTGTGAGTGCTGACAAACTATGGTTATCATACCATGAGAAGCTGAGTTGCGATGAAAAGTGCCCCGGTAGCGTAACTGGTAGCGCACTTGCCCGGAAAGCAAGAGGTGCGAGTTCGAGTCCCGTCTGTGGGGAAAATTTTGTTCACAACCCAGCATTCTTGTGAAACAGAATTGTCAGCGTAAAGCTGAATAGACTCATCGAGATTCAGACATATCATTTTAGAGCTTCTAACCACTACACCCGAACATAGCAACAGATAGTCATCGTTGTGAGATCGATTTCTCTTTGTATGGTGACGCAAGAAAGTAAATTGAACGTTTTCCTAAGTATGCGTTCCACGATGATTGAGTGGGCGGAGTCACTGCACAATTTGAAGTCCCGATTGGAGTTTCGCACCTCTTCCCATCTTGAAAAGAGAGACAAACCAGTAAGAAGGAAGTGGCTGAATTTGCTCTGCTTATCTCAATGTGGAAGGCGCGTTTGAAGGCAAGAATCAAGATTACATTTATGGGTCGATTCCACTCAAATGTGAAAGTAGGGATGGGAGGTGGACCGCCACTGCAGGAAAAAGGGAAGAAAATCTTCAAATACGCAGGAACTACAATCATTTTGCTCAATGCTGTGGAGAAGTTCAAAAGACAGGGAGGGAGATGAGAGATAGTGCAGAGGGTGGTAGAGAATTTCGAGAAGAGAGTGCATAGCAGATCAACGCAGCGACGCAGACATGACATCGATCGGTGGGTGGACCATGTTATGTTTGGTGGAGTCTGTTCGAAGTTCATGGCGCCTAGAGTCCTGGTGACGGGTTTCGATGTGGAAAGGTGGCGCTACCTTTGCACTTGCGTACCCAGCCCTTCTAGCCATGGTGAGGGCTTCTTAGGTGGGTCTGAGCCCGAACTTTGCCTTGAAGCGATTGTGCTACAATGGCAGGAATCAGATAGTGCTGCACGAAAGGAAAGAATGTAGACGGGCTTATGCAAACGCCTGACTTCTAGTCAGCACCAACGGAATGGTTATGCCGGGTAAGCCCATCAACAAGTATGGGGCTCCTCGGTGAGTGGACTAATCGAAATTATCGTATCAAGTGTGAAAAGCTAAAGAGTCTAAGGCCACAGTAGCCACGAGACAGTAAGGCAAGGTAGGAAAAGCGCAAAAGAGATTGAAAAGTTCGCGCGGTCTAGAGGGCAGTGTCTAGTTGCCGCAAGCATTGTCACGTGCAAAACTCGGTATGTACTTTGTTACAGATTCCCATTTCTTACGCAAAGAGGGTGGACGAGAGAGCACACTAAATGAGAGAACGCAAGCACTAGCACCTTCAAACGAAAAAAAATAAAGAGGTTGGAGCGATTTTGACAAGGTTTTTGTGTCCTTTCCGCATATTTCAGAGCAGTGAGAAAGGGACATTTCCGAACCGCTCTATCCTACCCATATAAAGCAATCATCCGATTGAATCCACACTAAGTAATGCTTTCGAATTATTCCAACATTGGTCTTTGGGAATCATTCTCGTGTTTCTCCATACTTAAATTAGCGTTTAAAAATCGCTCCTCATCTACAATAGGTATTACAAAACTGGTTTGAAATTTACTGACACACAAAAGCAGTGCATTATGTACAACGTTCATTTATAATACTCAATACATACATACATTCCTTTCAACAAATTAATCTTCTGATTTGTGTTGTAGCATTACTCGTAGTTCTGGAATATCTGCTGCCTTCTTCTGCTTGGCCAAAACTGCTTGTTTTCTGTGCCGAAGCAGAATGGCGACGGAATTCGCAATAGCAAAAATGATTGCGAACACTCCAAAAACGCATGAAATGTAAAACGCTGCTCTGGTACTTTGGTAACGTTGTGTGGCGGAACCTGAAATTCAGTAATTTGAATAACTGAGATTGGAACTGTCGCCAGAGGTTGATTGGTGTGCGCCATGCCTTTGACCTCCTGTCAAGACTGCAATATCATTAAAGGGTGCAATCAATAAATACGGTCGATTGGAGACATCATTAGTTACCCAAACAAGTGATCGTTGCCTTAGAGAAAGGCCTGAGGTTACTACGGTAAGATGGAGAGCACGGCGGGTCCGTAGAAATTCGAGCCAACTGACTGCCACTGAGCTACCCTTCAATTCTTGCACAAACGTATTTGTTTTCACATTCTAGGAACGGTTGATAAATCAATTCCTAGTCACCGAAGATGGTTCAAGTTGTGTCTTTATTAAAAACTTTGGAACTGTGACTTGTTGGGTAGGTCGCTCCCCTTCCATTAGCAAGAATCCTTTCATACCGCTGAGGCAATTTAGGAACAAAGGGGTTATAACCTGGTTCAAAACTCACCCGCAATTTGTACAGCTGCAAAAGCGGCTACACCATTGATGAGATTTGTGTATCCTAAAGCTCCTGGAAGTTGTGATGGTCCGACCATCAGCAACAGAAACTGGGCGAGTGTCGCTTGGAAAAGGCCTTCAAAGAGACTACATGTTAAAATTCTACATGTTAAAATTCATGACCATAGAATAAAAATTGAACATACACCATGTCATAATGCAAAAAGTGGTAAACCAGGAAAGATTAAATAATTGAAAAACCTCTCTATTTGATTGTATTTTGGGTTCAGTTAACTTCCTCCTCCACTTTAGCATAGTTCTTCTCTACTGATAAAGTTCAAAACTGTTCAACTGTACGGCGTTGTTAAATCCCACTCCGGGATGTGTCACGCAGCCCCCTTAACTGAGTATCGTAGAAGCGCTTGGATAAGGTTTGACCGCTACAGTGAATTGCGAAGGCCTGCTGATATAGAAGTCAGTGTTTTTGTCACCACAGGCAAATCCGGTACGAGCTACACGGTAGCAGAGCGTCGCAAGGTTTGGTATGGGCGCGAGATCCGATCCGGGGTTAGAACCTAGCAGCGCTCACGTCGTAAGGTGCGCTACAGCCACTGCACTTCCTCTGCACTTCACTACGGTCATAGAGAAGTTAAAAAGGGACCAAATTCAATAGGATCACAGGTGCAAAAATATAGAAAATTCAATAGGATCACAGGTGCAAAAATACAGAAAAAATTCAATATCAAGATGAATAGGAAAAAATGATAAACTCACCGATACCAAATCCAGAAAAGAAATTTTGGAATCGAAATTCCCACAGCGTATTAGCAGAACGCCGCCGAAAATATGCTCGGTAGGGCAATGCAATAGTTGAAAATCATAACAACAGCTATGTGAATATTAACTAGACCCAAAAGCAGCGTTAGCAGGGCTCTTCCAACGATCGATGCTATACCAAAATAACTGTACACAACTTCCGGCCTGAAAAATTTTTGTGAGCATCTGAGCTTTATACCTGTTCGTCTTTTATAACGTAGATTCTGTAGCTATTCATAGAACAAAATGATTGGTTGTCATTATCACTACACTGCGTCCCATAATTATACGTCATTTTAATTTTGGAACGTCGGCTGAGTAGCCTTTCACACGAGAATCATTGAAAAAGATTCCTGTGATCTCAAATAAAAAATTGCTGTTCATAGGTAATTCCGCATTTGTATATGTCACAATGTTACATTGAAGACTTTTTTCAAGACATCTATATTTGCGAGATTTTGGGAAATTCTTAGGTGGACGTATAATTATGGGACGCAGTGTATGTGCAGCAGCCGAGTGAACCATCTGCGATATTTGAAAAAGGAAAAGCCAAAATGAAAGTAGGGCGAAATTGAGTGGAATCAAGATGAAGCAAATGAGTTGGCAATGGCGGTGGTCTGGCCCGTTTCAGTAGCCGCTACGCGTGCGACTTTCATCACGATTCGCAGAAGCATTAGAAGGAAATTTGGCTCGAACAACGATTCAAGGGACAATCCCTTGTACATGTTACCCTTTTTATCCTCCCGTAATGACCGTGGGGAAGGGGAAGCTCGAAGATCTGCGGGATCGGCCGGAATTTGATCCGACAGCGTGTTTCTTATGGCGCCACTTTTCGTTACACATCTGTGCTTTGTTGTAAATATTATGGTAGTAATCAAGAAACTATGATTTTCCGAAATTTTCAATGGTAGCTCTCCGCAACTATCGAAGAACAGTATGTTTTTTAAGAATGGAAAGAGCCTAAACTCACTGTTCGATTCCTTCGCCCCTCATATGACCTAGGATATTCGATAGATAGATGATGCAGACGGCAGACGCACAAAACGAAGCCACAGCATGAAGCCAAAATTCATAGTGTAACCAAACCTGAGTATGGAACCCAAATTAAAGCCATGGTATGGATCACTTGGCGTCGGTCAACCTCCTTCTGGAATGCGCCACGCATTCTACTTCTATTGAAAATCGGTGGCAGTTTGAATACGATTTGGTTGACACAATAACTGCGGTACAGCCGATGTACAAGTCATTGTTTTGATCCTGGCTTGCTGGCATGGAGAGCGTATAACTTAAAAGTTGATCCCCCGATACTGTGCTTGGTAAGCGACCCCACTTGCTACTATACCTCTTTCGACAGTGGAAATAAATAGGTGCTAATCAATGGTGTCATCTAGAAGCAAAGTTCGGGCTCAGACCCACCTAAGAAGCCTTTATCATGGTTAGAAGTGCTGGCACCCGAGTGCAAAGTTAGTGCCACCTTTCTACATCGAAACCCGTCCAGGACCCTAGGCGCCATGGACTTCTAACAGACTTCACCAAACTTAACATACTCCGCCTACCGTACAATATCTTGTCTGCGTCGCTACGTTGATGTGCTATGCTCTCTCTTCTCGGAATTCTCTACCACCCTCTGCGCTCACATAATCTCTCACCTCCCTGCCTGTATTTTAAACATCTCCAAACCAGGCACCGATGCAAAATGCTCATATTTCCTATGCATTTCAGGATTTTCTTTCCTTTTTCCTCCATTGGCTGTCCACCTCTCATCCCTACTTTCACATTTGAGTGGAATTAACCCATCAATGTAATCCTGATTCTTGCCTTTAATTGCATACCTTTCGGAACTCTAAAACTGCTATAAGCTTATTTGGCTTTCCCCTCTTCATTCACTTTGTACTTACTTTCTCTTACAAAAAATCAAACTTTGTAAGAGCTTCGTAATGCCTCTATATTATCCCACCTTTGTCCTTCTTTGGCACGTGCGAAACAAAGACTAAACTACTCTTTGATCCCATCCCCTAAATAAAATCTTGGCAAAAGTACATAAACAATATTGAGATCCAAAAACAACTTTTGGTTTTACAAAATGAATGACTCAATTAGATACAAAATCAACAATTTTATTTTTGTATGTTTTCCTTTTGCTCAACTATTTGAGATAGCTGAACTGTTTAAGAGAAGCTGTGCTTGGTAGCAGCGAGCCGTGCCGTTGTCCCAGTTATGGTTCTTGGACCAGCCGATAGACTAGTCGACAGCCCCGTAGTACCGTCAAAGTGGAACAGCTAGAGCCCGACTCCTCCGGTACGGGAGACCTGTGCGCCGGCAGACCAGGGTCAATCCTTATGTTGCTACAAGTAGCAACGGGGGGGGGTCGTATTTTGGTGAGTTTGTAGGGGGGTCGTACTAGCTTAGGTTGTAAGAAGTGGCATCTGATGAGAGGGGAGCGGCGCGTGAGAAAATTTGCCGTTTCAGCGCGCGTATATACCTCCCCCCTTGCCGTTTTAGCGCGCGTATATACCTCCCGCTCGACGGTAATTTTGTGGGGTAAAAGTTCGGAAAATTGTCGGAAAGGGGGGGGGGTCGTAGAAACTTTTCCCGAAGGAGGGGGTCGTAAAAACTTTTCGAAAAGTAGCAACGATAGGATTGACCCTGCGGCAGAGATAGTCAAACACGCATTTGTGCCTTTGAAGAGCATCAGGTGTATGGGGCATCCAAAAGGATTCCTCTGAGATGAAACTTTGGCCTTGATCTTAATTTCTGAACACCGAATCACCTTGAGTCCAGTAAAATGAGCAAATGAATGATGTTCGGTTGTAGACCGTCGTGTGATGAATAATGACATCACACCGCAGATTACATAAAGTGAAGCCAGAAACTGGAATCCAACGGCCCACGAGTACTGAAAAATAGAAATGTTAACGAGGTAGAAAAATTTCTTCAATTGTTTAGTTCTGAAAATTCTCACGGCGTTAATGAGCGGTACGAGTGCACGTGACAACACAAAAATGCCAATCCCTGGTCCAATTGATATAAAGGACATGACCGTATTACGCTTTGTAATGAAATATTCACATTGAACCGAAATCACTGCATTTCTCATCAAAGAGCATCCGAATCCTGTAAATGAAATGAAAAAAGTCACACAGCTCTTTCATTGCCCAAGAAATAATAAGAAGTCATCAATATTCATATAGTGATCCATTTTCAATATTATTTAAGGACATTGTGAATGTCATGGAAATAAATGGAGAGGTGATTTGAAAAGAGCTAATCATGCCTAAAAAAATGTCGGAAGCATGTCGGTTTTCCATAGTGGAGGGGTTTCCTCCGAATCATGGGGATGTCCCTCTGTTTCAGAAAATCAGAAGCGCGTCAAGTGCAGACCACACACAACAAGTGACGTCAGCCTCCAAGTGAAGCTGAACTAGTGATTCATAGTGATGGCTGACAGTTGATGAATGAAAGTAGTATTATAATTCGTGACAACTGATAAACTACAACTGCAACAGGCTAATCACTTCATTGGCAGAAAACATTTTTTGTGGAGGCCGTCGTCACTTTTGGTGTGTGGTGTGTACTCTACGCGCTTCTGGTTTTCTGAAACAGAGGGCCGCATCGCGCTCGGCAAAAATCCGCGGCATTTAGAGCTAGCTGTTCAAATTGGGCATGTTTGAAATGGCGCAGGAAGATGCTCGAAACTGTGTTATAGTTTCGCATTGCGCTTCCCCCACCTTTCCCTTGCATGAAGCTCAATAATGTCGACTGATCGTGAAATAGGTTTTCCTATAGACGTCATCTTGAGCGATAAGAGGCATAGCAACATTGCTTTGCCTGTGAAGGTCATCTGTTGAATGATTCCCCTGGTTATGAAAAGGGGCAACAACCGTATATGACGAACCGATAAAAACTGCGAAGATTGAAAGAATGGCCATCGATGGAGCTACGGAACTGAGACTGAAACCTATGAAGCACATCAAAGCACCGCAAAATATGCTAACACGAGCACCGACGAACTGATAGAACATCGCTGCCAGTGGTCCTGAAATCCATCTCATTATAAACACCAGAAACATGGTTCTCATCGTTGTTCTAAATTGTTAGTTCGTCTAACTAGAGAAGTAATTAAAGGAATCTTCCACGGACCATGGACCAGTGGGCGAGACCGGAAGTTTTTGTGCCGAAATGCATGGGTACGCGGATCCAAGTTCGGAGTGGGAGGTTAAGTAATCCGTTCACGTTTTTGGTCACACGTGGAGCCGTGCTACATGCATTTCGTCACAAAAACTTCCGTCCCCTCCACTGCTGTCCATTTTCCGTGAAAGATCCTTTAAATGAAAAGTTGCATTCCAGAAATTGGTCAATCTCTACACGGGGAGGAAGGATGCAGGGTCTTATTTCTCTTTCGTGCTACTCAACCTTGATTTGACTATCGGGCTATGTGCATGGTTTGTGGAGCGGTTGAACGTTTGCCCTCTTCTCCACCCTTCCTATTGATATCGCTGCTGCATTTGCAAGTTAGTTCAAGTCAGCATATTCGCCACAGGTTCATCGAAGCCTGAAATGGGAAGGGAAAGGAGTGTAGTGTGATGAATGCGTACGAGGACCTCTACGGTGCCAGTAAACTGCCTGGGTTTGCAGAATCCCATCTCCAAAACCCAAAACTAGGTTGATTGACTTAATCTAGTTATCAGATTCGAATTTTAATCCCAAGTCCAACAAACTGAGGAATAAATCAGTTATAGTTCATTGTATCTCATCTAATTAACCCACTCATGCTCCCTACAATAGAGACTGATCAGAGACCACTAAACAACAAGCTCAGAGCATCAGTCCCAGCGGGGTTTTCACCTTCGACACCAATAGTGTGGAACGATGAACTGGCCCTAGTTAAGAACATAAAAGTGGACTGAGCAAATAACTCACCTTAGAAGGCCGCTAGAAAGGGAGATGAATGGCCTCGAAGTGGGCGTGGTTATCAATCGGTCTAGGGGATTGCAGCCGGTTGGCAACCACGCCCTCATCGAAGCTGTTCAGCTCTCTTTCTAGCTGCCTTCTAAGGTAAGTTTTTTGTTCAGTCACACTTTTTATGTTCTTGATGCATCGTTCCATACCATAAAAGCCGAAGGTAACCCTGCTGGGACTGTTGCTTTAAGCACCCAAAAAATGTCGAAATCGTAGTCGAGATGATAAAAAATCCACAAAAAAGGTATCCATTCCAAAAAATAAACAATGAGTTCATTCCAATACACTGACCTCCCATCAAACTTGAAGCTGTAGGAAGCACTATAACAACGGCGTCAGCTTCGGTTTTTGTGCAGTTGTACTCGTCAATGATAGCAGGGACGAAAATGTTCATTACCTAAGAAAACATCAATATTTGGAAAAAACTGAAAAAAAAGGAATGGTGACATGTTGGCACATCTTCAAAGCCTGTCTTTGTCTAAATCATACTGCAACCAGCTCGCAAGTTTCCCAACTGGAATCAGATTTTTAGCTTCCTAATCGGAACTATCTCGTTGCATGGAAGAAAATACAGCAACAATCAAAAACAATGGTCAGTCTGCTTTGGATTGCACCACGCAGTCATGACGTTTTTAATATTAGTTGATTCTTCGGTCTTTTCGTATAAAACTGTCAATTACATATCAGAACAAGTACTTCTCTTACCTCTGTAATCAGCTGTCGAACAAAGTTTACTTAAAAAATACCGCATGCGTCAGCAAGGTTCTCGAGATAAGACAGAAAACGTGTTGGTTTATTGAGAGAGCAAAAAATGGAACTGTTGTATCCAAAGTCGGAGAACGCCTTTTTCGTACCCAGATTTCAAGTATCCAAGAGGCCATGGAGTACCCTTATACAATCGGAACTGTACTTTTAGAAGACTCCGGAGTTTGTCGTTGTTTCCAACCAGAGAATGTTATGGGCCATTTATAGTAATCTCGTTCTTGATTAACACTAGCTTTAGGGGCGGAAGTACACAGTATATGGCTCGAATCTCTGAAGGATCAGTGAAGCCGGTTTCGTCTGGGAGCATTATAACACTATCAGTGCGCCTCCAATGTGTTATTCTATTTGAGAGTAACATGCATGGCGCATCCCAATAGGATCGCATCGCGCATCGCATATCAATGTTCACCTTTTTGTAATTATCCTTTACTGATTCGAGTCCATAATTTGACAAACACTTCTTTGAAGACCGTGTTTGAATAATGCGACATATCATGTATCTGATAGGGACGAATCAAATTATGTATCTACCGGAACTTCTCCCAACGTCAAGCTCAAGAACTAGGCAGCGCGACAAGCGGCACCAATACCTATATGAGTAACGAATATAACAGAAATCGAGTTAAACTCGCCTGTCGGACGCCATTTTCCGTGAAAAGAATATAGAAACCGAAAAATGCTAGCCATACATGACGCCATTCGGATTCGACTGTCATGGTGGAGTTATTGGCTCAGTCGAGAATTCGACTCACAGTGATCGTCAATCAGACTCGCAACAAGTCGATAGAAGACGTTCAATCTGAGCGCTTATCAGCGGACGCCGATTTTCATCTCTTTTCGCATCAAAACGTTGCCAGATAGAGAATATATTGCAGTTTCGATCTCATAAAAACTCTAATCACAACTGGAAACCCATTTTCTTCTGTACACCGTGATGGTACACCATAGATTGGTCTTACTACATATCGTAGTAAGTTTCCATGGATATGGCGGCTTTATCCAGCGATCGTCTAGGAAACCCTCAGCGGACCCTGCGGCTGCGCGGGACTAACGCTAGGAAGAAGAATGTCATCTAGGAAACCCTCGTGCCAGAGGTAGAGATAATTTCCCCGAGGGTAGACAGAATTTGGAATTCGCACTGGCATGCTTCACACAAAGATAGGTTCCAGAATGGAGATCCTTAAGGGCAGCGATTACGACAAAGAGGGAGCGCATCGGGGAAGCATATGCACCACACGAAGCATTTTTGTCTGCCAGGGAAGCCAGGTGTAGCGCTTTCACGACGGAAGGTGCGATGGTTGCTGAGCAGGGTTTCAGAGGCGCTCCGCCCTCAAAAGCGATCCGCCCTCTAGTTTAGCTGGTGAATTGGACGAGCTGCGTGGCCAGCAGCGGCACAGCTGGGGCAACTCAATTGAAGCGTGATTTGGCATGGTGCCACCAAACGCGTTGCGATGAACTAGTTCATACGTCCACGTTTCGAGTTATAACCTATTACTGGCTGAAAACGAGTGGCCGAAAAATAGGGTCCCGTCCTATGTTTTATTGACGGGTTTTTTTCGCCAATGGCGTACCATTGAGCAATAACATGTCTCCCCTTAACTTTCTTGAAACTATTGTGATCGCTGCCTTTAAGCTCGCATCATTGCATCACTCCAGCTCGGACATATCAATCCTTTGAAAGGCCACATTTGACATTTGTTGGAGCACACCCAATATTCAGGATTTTTTGTCCAATCTAAGTACTACGCTCAGATAAGAGAACAGTCAACTCAAGAACACCACAATTCGGTAATTAAACGCATTAAAGCATTTTTCAGTCCTGCCATGGGTTTTTACCTGCCACTCATATTCAAAATTTGTCCTCAATCTAGAGATCCTAGGGAGTAGTCATGGGAGTCAATGTCCTCCTGAGTGACCAAATATTTGACCATGCCGCCAGTTGTAAAGGGATTTCTGCTTGTGAAAATATTCAACCTAACATCAAAAAACCCAGAAATGACAAAGAACCTGCAAAATTGTTCCGAGACGACTCCCACGCCTATTGCACTGTGCTCATTAGTGCACACCTTTACCTTCATAGAACAGGAGCTCACCAGTAGGAACGCCGTACTGCTACTACTGTGCACCTTTTTCAGCATCTTCCAACTTATTTTATTCATTCTCTCAGCACAGACAACTCTTCCTTTACAAATCCTCCAGCGAAGCACACCGCTATCTTTCCACTAAATACAAGGCCCATCAACTTGTAACCGAACGTGCTCCATAAAAATAATAACTAAGAGCTATTTTAGCCACGAAAATGGTACTACCTATGTACAAGGCGTAGTTTTCTGCGTTACTACAACTCTGAAGGGTCCTCAACGGCGCGATGTACTCTGCAGAGGTCTCCACAAAATTTCTTCGAGTCCGTCAATTTCCAAAATCAAATCAACACATAAATTAATCAACCTAAAACTTTATGAGTATTCTAGAACGTATGGCAACAAACAATGAGATAACGAGTAACAGTGAAACGAGTAAAAAAAGTAAGACGAAGCACCACGTCATGATAAATGTGCTTTAGTGAATAGCACTATCTACTACCTCGAAAATCGTCGACCATCGTATGACTGCATCCATAGATTGCAACAAGAATGGAGAATGAAGATGACACTTCTAATAGAAAATTTGAAAGAAAAGCACACAAGCGATAAATAACTCTAACTAAGAACTTGTTCTGAGAAGATATCAGAGGGTTACAAAGGCGAGGCAATAAAACATCACATCAAGCTTATCTTTTCTTGCGTAAAATCATCAAAAGCAACATACGAGAAGGAAACAAATAATAACCGATAATTTCCCTAGTAAATATTAAATGCTTAGCGTTTCTGTTCCTTCGTGAAGACGATTGAGAACAGAAACATTCAGATCCAGCCAGTCAACTCAGTGATGAACAGCCATGAGCAGCATCTTGGCTGACTGAGCGACACTGTACGCAGCATGACAGGCATCTTCAGCGTCCAGAATCGGAGCGTTACATTTCGCGCTCAAAATCTGTTGAGAATACAAGTAAGACTAACACTTTCAATTTCGGACAGGCTTTACAATTTGCAACTGCACTGAATTTCCACAATATTTTATCGAAAAAAAACAACAAGAAAAATCGAAAAGATCAAAATAGCCCAGCCCAATGCCGACGATAGCTGCAAGTTCTTACACAGGGGCAACCATGGCCGATTTCCATCCTCCTATGGTTTATGATTCAACAGCCCTAACTTTGCTCAACAACATGACACTCCTCTCCGAAAATTCTTACCTTGAGCAGAGGGATATGTATGGCTGCTAGAGCAGCAGATCGCAAGCAAAATTTCCTACACCACAAATCCTCTTCAAGTGTATTCCAGAAAATATGCTCCTCCCCGAAAAGACCCCTTCGCACGACTCGATGACAAGGACTTTGACTTTGATCCCCGTTGTCGAAACACTACAGCGCTTATGTGGCTCCATAGGGTGTCAGTGTTAAAACATTACCCCACAAAGTAGTCCTAACACGTAACAAGTACAAGGCTAGGAAGCATGAACAGAATCCTTGTGGTTCACCTACTCATTTCAACCTCTAGACTTGGTTATAATTAGACGCCACTGAAGAGGCTCTACCAAATTTTTGCACACCATAACATCTTAGTCATAATGAAGTGGGAAACGATATATTTCAGTCTTGAAGGAATCTTCCGCGGAAAAAGCTCCGCCCCATTACCACAGAAAAACGATACCCTTAGGCCCCTAGCCTCATGAGCATAGCAAAAAGAACGGAACATAAGCGTTAGTTTCGATAATACTAATTACAACACAAACCAAAATGATCACTCTTTCCGTGGAAGATCCTTTAAGGTGTCGATTTTTAAGGTAATGAGGGTGGAGCTTTTTCCGTGGAAGATTCCTTTAATGTTGAGCAAACTGAGCCTAAACCTTAAGCCTGCCTGCCGTAACGCCCACGGTTTATCTACTTAACAAACAAACGAACAAGGTAAGAACGCTCACCATAGTTGCATCCATAAGACCAGTCACTGCTTGTTCAGTTTTCCCGATTCGCTGCTCACGAGGGATCAGGCATATTATATGGTTGATGAGCGAGGCTATCTGCAATAATAGAAAATTTCGCACGGAAAGCACCACAATGATCCACATTCGCTGCTCGGGCCAGGGTAACGCAAAGACTAACAAACTTCGTTGACCCGTCACCAATTTGGGCCAACTAAGCCATTTTCGGGTCCAGCTGCTTTAGAGGAAAAATACCACTCAAAACAAAGCTAGTCTAAGGAACTCACTTTTCAGACAACATAACCCCTGAATGCCTTCATTGTACTTGTAGAAGTCAAAGATACGGCATCTACCGAAGCAATGGCCGGCTCTATCAATCTCATCTTCACTTTTTATCAACTAACTCCTTTTGCACTTGAAATAAGCCACGTTTTTAGCACCTACTTAAGATCTTCTCCGATACAGCCCTTTTGAACCGACAGAGTGGCCAAACTTTATGACAGAAAAAGCTGAGATAGGAAAAACTAGAAATGGATTGCTGGAAACCGCTATGAACTTTAACATCTAATCGGCGGGAATATTAGTTATAGTTGGTCTCAGCATGAAGGAAAATTTCAAAAAAGCCAATAAAAGTTACCTTGTGAGCATGGTCACTAGAACGACCATGTAGCTGCTTGTGTTGAGCATCGGTGAGAAGTGATCGGATTGCCACGGTAAGGTTTTCTGTTTCACGTATGAGATTATCAGGAAACACTATAAAAACAAAAACATTTAATAAATGAAAGGTACTCAGCAACAAGGTGCATAAAAGCAGTGATTTGGGAGGAGGAATTGAATTGGTCGCAAGTGCTAGGTAAAAGAGCACACGTACCGCACTGGGAGTGCTAAGATCGTCTTCGAACGCTCTTTCACCAATAACATCCAAAAATCGGCCCCATCCTTTCACCAACATAATTACTGCCCCTGATACAACGCCCATCAATTTGCACCTACCCGGTTCACTGAACGCTTCCTGAACTTTTGAAGCGACGACTTGTGGGGCAGGCGTTATGGAGGCATAATCGGTTGCGTCCATATTCCGTTCACGGTTTTCACGAGAACGCAATTTTTCTCGCGAACCATCTCGAGGCTCGTCCCTGAACAGATATATAAAATGAACTAACACATACCCGACTCTACAATGTCTAGTTAGCGGCCTCTATCAATACAGAGGTCGTCCATCTAAAAACAAAATCAGTGGTATCTTAACTCCATGAAGTGCACCATGGGTTCTCCCAGGTTATAATTTGCTAAGATATCCACTTCGCTATAGCACACTTGTGTAAAGGGTGGAGCTCGCTTATCGTACCAACACACTATGGCCTTGTTATTTCAGTACGAATACATATTCCGCGAACAGTGCCTGAGTGTCATCTCATTATTCATCGAATTAAGGTCAAAAATTTCGATCGCTGTAACGTCGCAAAGCAAGTGGCGCTTCCTGCGGCATATGCACCATGGACCGTAGCAAATTTGAGTCATCACATCCCCGCTTTGCGGTGACCTATTCTATTCTCTGATGACGAGCAGCTGTGGGTCTGAATCCGACCAACACCCGTTTGTCATTCTTATTGATGGCAATGCTTACGACTAACAGAAGAAACGCCAGTTCTACTTACATAAAGTTTTGCGACAAAAAAACTTGTTGTTTAGAGCAGGGAAAAGTCGTATTAGTAGCAAGTTCTAGTAAGTAGTACTAGAAAAAAGTCCATACTGCACAATGATTGCGTATCCCTATTGTATCTGATGGTCAACAAGTAAAGAACATTGCGATTGGTATCAAAGAAAAGCTATAATATTAGAACATAGAAGAACCTGTGAAACTATACCTGTGATTCTCAGCGCTCATTCTTCCGCTGGGTACCATCCGAGAGTATCCAGGTGTTGCTCCACTCATACTACCATGCCGTTTCGCTAATCTCGACTCAGCTTCTGGAATTTCAAATGCTGGGACTTCTTGACGTTTGAGTCGGCCATTTGACATCTCACGAGATTATAGAGAGAAACGCTATTGAGTATAGACCGAGATGAGCCGTTGTGGTTGGCCAATATAACAGGGAACACATTATGACCACTCTGGCTAATCCCCATTCCTTTACAAAAAGTCTACTTACCTATTGGTGGGCGTCCAACACGGTCTCCACGATCCAGTCCTACCGAATGTGCACGTTCAACAATATGATTTGCCGACACATGAGGTACGGTGGCTGGGGACGGTAATCGCCTCAGCAACGCTGCTTGCTCGGAAAGGCGAACAATCTGAGCACAAGTATTACTGAAGTCACAGAGAGTCAACTATATCCTACTAACCTCATCTTTCAAACACGTATTCTCAACCCTCATATGCTCCATGGAATTCTGCAGATTTGTGAGAATCCTAGAAATGAGAAACTGCTTTATTGGCTTCATGATATTGAAAACATACAAGTTATCTAAAGATATACTATGAGACTCACTTCATAATCTGGGTATTGGTATGACAAATAGAAGTTAGCTTATTCTCATTCTCCGTCATTCTTTCTTTTAACTCTAGCACATCATCTATAGATACACGTCCATCGATAGCAGCATCTATCGAAGACGTCGACCTGGTTTTATTCCCAGATGATCTTCTGAAACACATCACTCTCAAAAAACATTTAGAGCAACAGACTTACAAGAGTATTACCTTGTCGCACCGCTACTGCGAAGTTCACCGGCTTTGCCAGGAAAATCGGCTACTTCATCGTAATCTCTATTAAATTCACTGGAATCCATTCTCGTGTTACTGAACGCAACCCATCAGAATGTGTGAATGATTCTAATACGAGGTAATAAGAACAAATTAGAAACCTAGATATGTTGTGGAGGTTATTGGAGGTGTCCAAGTTATCCTGCGTATGTTCAAGAGGGAGACCGAAATACCGTCGCTTTGCCTCCTGAAAAGTCTCTATTTATGTGAAATTAAAACAATTGATCGAATAACAGCCAAAAAGAAAATTCACGGTGAAACTGCTAGTAATTGAAAAAATGCTGAGAAACAGACTCGTATAAAAAGAGTACCACGGGAAAAGAAATCGAATATAAAAATGTGAGGAGCTCCCAACCTTCACAAAATATATTTTTGGCGTAAAACTGAAGCTTAAATAATGAATAGTTAGCACCTTGAGGGTAGCGTGGTACCATAGGATACCACATCCTGTGGATCGCGTGAGACGGCGTGTTACCCTGCGATATAAGCTATCACCCCTTCATTCTTCCCCGCATATGGGACCCTCAGATTGTTTATGCTTTTTCTATAAATTTTATCAAAATGTGACCACGAAAGGCGGTGAACAGAAAACAATTGAACAGAATGATGAGTTCATCGTATGTTTCCGATTCTAGTTTTCTAATCTAGTTCTTTGGCCGCACCCACCAAATTGCGGTCGTCACGGGCGACTAAGAAAGCAAAAACGCGAGCAGAGTGTTAAGAATATCAGTGGTTGAAACACAAGCAAGCACTGTACAGAGACATCTTATCAGAATCAAAACAGCGTAAGAACGTTTCAGTATTGATAAAAAAAACACACCTTCAGTACGTCTATAATAAGAGTAGCAAACTCCCGCACGTCGTACTTCGCGAGCTTCTGCCGCAGTTGGTTCCTTGTGGCAGAAAATGAGGGATTCAGCTGAACAAACATGTACTTTATGCATTATGAGATCTCTCCAGTACGACTATCTATTTATGCAAGGCACCTCAATGAAATAATGTGCAGCAAGAGCTTATAAACGAAAGCGAAATGAGCATACCGGAAGAAAAACAGCCACACACTGCTCATTACCCGAGGTTATTTTGCCTTGGTTCATAGCCATCCATGCTGCTTGAGTTTCTCGTCGGTCAACCTAATATAGTGATTCTGAGCCGTAACTTCATAATAAAGGTTCGTTGGATGCATTCAAAACAAACGTTGTAATAGAATACGCTATTGAATTGAAGCTTACTTCGTCATAAACGTCTTGCAGTAATTTCTCAAAGGCACAGTCGGGAAGCGCTTCAATCTTCAATCGAACAGATCGCAACGTTTCAACCGTATTCTTAGCAGTAAGCTCAGGAATGAGGAAGTGCTGCTGGTGCTTGAAAAAGAACATGTGAAGAAAAACACCGAACGAGAACTGCACTGGATTAATAGGTTGAGTACGAACTTTGCGCTATGTTCTGACTTTTGTAACGTTGCCTTCTTTAGGACGACTCTGAGCTCAACTGCAAGTACGCAATCGACCGCATTTAGTTATATACTTTCATATATGTTTCAGTATCGAGCCCACGCAAGGATCACAAAATTCGCATAAACACCCGTTTTACATATCGCTTAGAGGTAAGCTCTGTCCGAAAAAGTACACATTATAACAAAATGCGCTGGCTATCAAAAGACCAAAATAACTGAACAAACAACAAGAACTCCTGAAAAACTTTTCTCCGAAAAAAAAAACGGCGGGAAAACTTCTGCCTAACTTAATATTTAAAAACATGGACAGTGAAAAATGTAAGTGAAAAAATGTAAAATAAACAAGAAATACAAAATCCAACCTGATGATCTGGCTTTCGACCACAAAGAAACAGAGATAGCCTATTAGTCAAATCGAACGACAACTCATCAAGGCGATTAGCAAGGTCAGTCTACAAATAACAAGCCTGACCTACACTGATAAGACGGAGACAAACAGCAATAAACCATCTATAAGCCAACACTAACTATCAGGTAGCTTAATGTTCAAAATCAAGAATAAAACTTACAAAGCCATCTTGTCGAGCAAGTTGCGCAGGAGTAAGTTCAGCAACGTTGCACAGCAACGGATCCGCACCATAAATGTAGAGGAGTTCAACCTGAAATTCTACTTAAAGTGAAACTTCATGCTAAAAACACAAAATCTCGGGGATCGCAACCTTACAAAGCTTCTAAAACTGTAAAAAAAAACTGAGTACTAAAGCCAATGCGGTACAAAAGAACATGTGTTGGGGTCTGTTATGGGAGATGGAACCAGACGGAACAGAAATGGTTCTCAAAATCTCATCCGACCAGTGTGCTCATGCCTGGATCTGTGGTAAATTTGGATGTGATAGCTTTTAAGGCTCCTATGTTGCTACCAAAAAATGGCTAGACTCCAGACCTGCATTGCTTGTCCTTCTTTTGCAGCAACATGTAGCGGGCTGTTTCCTTTTTCAGAATCCACATAATTGACATCAGCTCCCATCGCTAAGAGCCTGAAATGGCAAACGTAATTGAAAGATGAATCCATGGCCGCAATTCACTCAGGAGGATCACAAGAACAATGAATCAGCAATACAGCTTTACTAACTACATAAAGTGAGTGCAATTCGAATGGCACTCAAATACCCAAAACAGCATTTTGAAGGCAACACACTGCTCAAACGACCAACGATCTAGACAGTCACGAAGAATGTTGTCTTCGTGAGCTCAACAGCACAACATGACCAAACTGCTGTTATTCTTGCACACGAAAACGAAGGCAGAGGTGCGAAATGGAACAATAAAAAGGGAAAAAAGGAAAAGAATCTGTCTATTACGCCCTAATTAAAGAGTTACTCATTTTTTAACTCGACTGTACAGAGAAGTTAAGCACGGAAAACGCGGAGAAAAGAGAATCATCGTTGGTCTACGTAAACTTGCGAGCCTTCAAGCAGCTACAGAGCAAGGAGTAGCCGCAGCCTGGGGATTCGGAGCGCGCAGTCTCGAAGTAATTACTTAGTGGTGAATTATGCAAAGTCTGATCTACTACCAAGAGCTACAAACCTCAAGGTCGTGTCCACATGTGCTGTACGTACACAAGACCACAGCTGTTTATTTACGTCATCCAAACTCCACGGTTCATCATCCTTACTCGGCTTTCGGATAAACGCATGGTCGACATATTTGGCTTTGATGAAGGCTTCTTTTGTAGGTAGTACTGGGTCACTACAAATAGCAAAAACAGTGACAATGATGAAGACAATTCAAGCTATAACAGGACTTACTGCGGTAGTGGTTTCCTTTTGAACTTAGAGGAGGAAGCCGGATCAAGCATCGCATGCTCCCACACGCGGTTAGAACCAGTTCTGAACACAGAAAAATGCCCTACAGCGAAAAATTGCTAGCTATCATAGATGAGAGCAAAATAAGAAAGAAGAACCACTTGTGTAGTAGTTTGACGAGTTCTAGTTGGGGTGTATCCCACATCCCTCGGTTGAGTGAACGTACTTGTGAGTATTGCCGGCCTGGAAGAAATCAAAATTCCTTGTGAGCCCTGATTCCTGAAGTTTCACATTCGCCTTGCTATGGTGACCGCAGAGAGCATTTAAGTAAATGTGCTAAGCCAGTCTGTGATTGGCAATATCTAGCATTTGACCAATAATAGGCAAGCGTTACGCGCGAAAATCGGCATTTCAGGTTTCAGCTGTATCACTAAAGAGTTCAAAGAGCATCCAGAGAGCGGATAAGAGTCCGTAATCAAACGATACCTAGATTTCTATGAACAGAACAGCAGTCGTTGCATATCAGGACACCACGGTTGATGGAGGCCCACTGAGGATCGTCAGCACTACAGTCAGCACATTGAACTATCTCCACACTCGATACATGTGCTGAAATTAGGTCAAAACTAGAAAAAATGACGCCCATGGCCTTAGGGAGACATTCAGAACAAGGCATCTAAAAACCGCAAACTAGTACTAATACTAGAATAGGGTAGAAAATACCAATGAGCAATGAAACGGTCACATCCTTCCAAATCCCTTCCCCTCCCATCGCACCGAAAAAACTAGTAAAACTGTGGAAAATATTATAAAAACGTAATAAACTGCCAAATAATACAACTGTAAGAAAAAAGGAAATATAAAATGCCTCACCTGTCGGTGAAAGCACCACAGCCGAGGTGTCCATCCTAAAACTGATCAATAGTTCATAAAACAATTATTTTTCTACAAATTAACAACGAAACGCTAGCGAGTACCACAGATCAGAAAAGAACGAGAATTTTACAGTCTTCACGGGATATGTTGGCATACAAAGTTTTTCATTTTGAAAAGTCAAAGAGGTGTTTTTAAATGCATTATCTGAAGCAGCATACGTGAGACAGTAATACGAACTGCGAACGAGTCGGATAACAAATTGCCGGGATGAAATGCGTTTTATACCATTTTTATGGAGTAATGGCAAGTTCCATAAAACGGTAACCAGAACAAGCGAAAAGTGATAGTCGAGGAAAGCTAGAACTAGTCAGTAAATAAGATAATAAATGTGGAGATTGAAAGTAAAATCGAACGAATCGGGAAGTTTTTCTTTAATCAATAACGTTCGCTGGACATGCGGCAACTGTTAAAAGCAGCAGGCTAGGGCCTGTTTGCTCGATATCTCCGGCCAGCCGGTCGGTCGGTCAGCACTCAACCACAGACGTCCAAGTGCCTAGAAAGTTTGCATGTCACATCACGTCAGTGGACCGATGACGTCATCCAATTAACAAGTCCTTGAGAAGAGTGAACTCCACAGAGCTCACTCCAAAATCGTGATAAAAGTCCCTACAAACCCTATTTCAGAGGAGATTTGGCATGCAACGCCGAAAAATGCTGGTTCGGGGTTAAACTATCAAAAGGGAGGGGAAAGGGTATATTGGTGAGTGCACCCAAGGCAAGCCAGAAGTATGAGGATGTCCTAGAGGCTTGGAGGTAAAGACTACTCACAAAATAAGAAAATCCCATTTTACACGTAGAATTTGCTCACTCACTCTGAAGCCTTTTCAAGACATACTTAAAACAAAAATTCACATCCTCTGACTCACAATGATATCTTACACCATCCACCCTGCAACGAAACCGTGCCTAATGGCAAAGAATTTGAAAAACTGGCGTTGAAGGGAAAACCGCTAACATAGCTACAGACCTTTGCGGAGTTGGGGCAAATTGTCCCCTCAGTATAGCGGCCACTTTTTCTGTCCCTGCGAATTGAAGCACCAATCAGATGGATTTTATGTCAATCACCTTGAAATGTGATCGGTAAGAGAAGTGCTGCTAACGGAACTCATCTGGGTAGTTGAGCTAGAGAAAGCCGCAATCTATCGCAGGCAATCCATCATGCGCACTTTGTTCCTGCGACTGGGGGTGCCGTAACTGCAGACTTACCAACACGGACGTGGCATATGATCGATGACACCAAAAAGATGCGCGGTGCCGCTTTTTGAAGAATTCGCCACGTGTTCTGGTGCCATTTTTCAAACAGTAAACGTGGCAAAGACCATGGAAAATCCGATCCCTCATGTGCGTATCACATGAGGACATCATAATGTGATATTCTGCAATTCGACACCTTAGAAGAAGGGAAAGAAACGGTACATCAATATCTCCACCAGGCAGATATGACAGCTTAGCATTTAGCCGGATATGACACCCCTGATTTTACTTGAAATGACACGGGGTTAGAGCCCAGGGGCCGAATCCAATCCTTCCCTCGGCCTAGGAGAAGAAATGATCCCTTAAGTTTTCCTTCGTTTCCAGCCACAATCGCTCCGAAATGGAGCGTCGTTGAAATGTATGTATGGATAAAAAAGTAAACATGTACTGTGAGTAAGGAAGCTGTGTCGTTGAAAACCAATAAATTTGAAGGAAACTTTTGTTCCTCTAGCCTTAGGGAAGGAATGGATTCGGCCCCAGGAAGCAAAAAGTGACCATGCGTTTCTAATTCGCAACGTAGCTCCGATTCAAAAGCTTTGCAGGCAAATACGTATGAATTTATATACTCAAGCTCGCACTTATAAGCGTGAAATAGCAACAGATGCTATCCGTACAGAGAGAGAAATTTATCGCGCGGTTGAAAAAATCCAAACAATTACTCCTACGGCTGACGGACTATTTGAACACAGCCCTTTACCGCCTCTGCGCTCTCTAGCGGGTCACTCTACTCTCAAGGCTTAGTCCTAGAGCTTTTTTCTAATCGTCTGTACTCTAGCCATCGCGACAGGACCATTGAGGGGAAATCAAACGGAACAATGTAAATAATGACAAATGGTGATGAATGAAAATCATTTATTTGAGTTATTATCGCGTTACACGTTACGAAAGTTCAGAATTAGATAGCTCTTTGCAAATATTTCTACACGATTTAAGCAGTTCTGTTTCTGCATAAACAAATTGTCTGAATAAATGATTAGTCGCGGGACTAGCGGTACTTATTTACAATATAATATATTTTTACTACAATATATTTTTTATTCACTTACTTACAATGCACTCGCATGTCGCACTATGCCATGACATCAATGCTAAAGCGGAACAACTTGGAGAGTAAGAAAAAATTGTCAATGAAAATCAGAGAAAGATAAATATCATATGCGAAATGAGGCGATAGGGCTGATAAGTGAGGCAAATAAGGAAATATGAAAACTTCTAGGATGAAAACAACGCAAGAATTGCCAATCGATATGATCTAGAACTACTTCATATTTTATGAACTCTGAGATAAAAAACGTTTCATTGTCGAAGTGGCTACGAGCAGTGGAAGAACTGCCATAGAAACAAAGGAATGACACGTCGAAAGTCGACAGGCTGACAAAGAGGTTACATTTGACTCACTGGCAACACACTGGCCTAGCTGTCGAGCTGACATCAAGGCGATGTCATTTTATCGAAGAGGTCAATGACCATTCGAATCACGAGCCTACAACGACGAAGAGGGATCGCCACGATTCAGAAGTTAACGGATCGTTATCAGAAAGTCGATGTTAGCCTTTGGGATGATGAACGGAGTCGTTGGCGTCCGTGTGGCCGCAATCGGACGACGTCTCATCTCGTGGAGACGCCAGACGTCAGACGGAGCACACACATCGTTGCCGCCCTAGTTTTGTTCCGAAACGGGACACAATGCAGTGATGTCATCAACCTTCTGAATATCCTCCATGTCGTGCATACTGGTCGTTTCAATTCTGAAATTTAGATCACTGATTCAAGTGCCAGTCATTTTTCCCGTTTTCGCTTAATATGGTGACAGTGCAGCCGCCCGTTCAATTTTCTCAGTGCTTGAATCAATTTTTCAACTTTATTTTCAACATTTTGCTCTTCCAATTTACTTTTGATTTTGATTTTTGTGATTCGTTGCCGTGAATGGGGTCATTTTGCGCAAAGACGAAAAAACGAGTCGTATTGATTCTCAATTATTCACTTAGTTTAGGCCCAATCGAAATGGGCTTTCACTCTTGTTGTCACCCAGTTACCAATTACAACAGCAATTTCAATCAATTTTCATGGCATGCCTTCTTTCTAGTTGACGGCAATGGCGACCATCACTCATTTCTCCTTTTGTAGCTGATACGATCTTCTCTAGGTCCCGAACTGAGCAAAAAGATCGAAAGTTATAGACCTGGAGGACGAGCGAGAAATACTAAAACAAAAGTGGACTTTCAGCGTGTGCTTCGGTCGTCCTGCTCAAGTGTGGCTATTGTTTCAGCTAAAAACTTGGAAATTCTAGAGCAGATCCTGTTCAGAGCTCCCACTTACGCGAAGAAAAGCACAGGCCATGAAATGAAATTCTCCAACAACATATAGATAGGCTTCGAATGGGAAATTGGAGCGAAGTAGGCAACTTTCAGTCGATAAGTTGAGTTATCGATTGCGAGAAAAGGACGCGCGGAAAATCGCTGAAGCGTTGGTGTCCATACGTGTACAACTCATTTTTGCCGATTCTCCCACTTTTTTAATTTTCCTGCGCGTCCTTGCTCAATCTAAAGATATTTCATTTTATTTCGCCAGTCCGTTTTTTACGCGTGAGCGGGTAACTCTGAACAGAGCTGCAGACGTACCTGCGCAAGCAACTCGATGAAATTAGCCTGTTTCCATTTTATTTCCACCAATCTTACACTATGACGTAACTGTTTGTTGCCCACCTATTTATCGCAATTCCTCTTGAATCGGTTGTTTTCGCCTCCTATTCGCAATTGGCAGCAGTCATCCACCATTACACCAGTAATCGTCGCCCACGAATCCCGAAAGCGTTTTCAGTATTTGAAAGAACTCTCCTGAAGGAATATTATCACATCGTCTCAATAAAACGATATTTCATTCAAAAAACACGACGACAATGCGAAATGATATTTGCACTGGAAGTGATATCGTCAGCGTTGGCGATAGCGCGCATGCTTGCCATGGGGCGCAGATCGCACTGCTCCTTGACCGTAGAAATCTAAGCCAGGCCATAAAATGTGGCCGTTATCGGCAACTGTTATACTCTGCGGATTCTATGTCGTTGACTGTTCGCCTTCACGTAAGAGTGTGGGGCTCATCTAGTAAGAGGGGGCATCGTGATGCCGTGGATGATGCCTTACTCGGGTAATGCTTTGAGCTTCTTATTGGACTTTGAAGGGAGATCTAGGTGTATCATAGGGTCTAGACCGCTGGTTGCTAACACTATGGAGCCTAGAGCTACTAAATGAACTGTCTGTGCAGTGAGCTTTCAAAGAGGTGCTCAAAAAGGCTTATGGGGGAGCTTTCGCCAACGGAAGCGCCCTCTGGGTTAGCGCACTGGTAGAGCTCTCGCTTCTCAAACCATAGGTGTAGAGCTTGCTACCCCTCGAGTGCGCGAAATTGTGCGTTTTGTGCTTCATATACGAGGGAGGAATTTAATCGAAGGTGAACAAATGATGCCGAAACGGGTGCCATTTCCGTGATTTGAATCATTTACAACTCCTGTACCTAAGGTTGACCTAATATATGAAAAGGGGTATGTTATCAAACCGGCGCAACATGCCCTCTGCTTCAAAAACGAATGTCCTAATCATGATCATGACTCTCACTTATCACTACAGGCAAAGATGCAGCCAAAGTAGAGATTCTGTCCTCCAAAATATTCGCCTTATATGCAGGGGTTATGATTGGATTACAAAAAGTTTTCGTAGCATT